GGATTAGCTATTATACTAAGATAACATATAACATGCTAACTCAGACTTTTTCATTAAAACTGTGTCATGCATCCGATGAAAAAAAGCAGGCAATAAATGGTATGGTTGTTAGTTTTCTTCACACTACTCTCGATATGTACTCTCCGTTCTAATGATCAGCCTTCCTTATTTCAACATTGACTTGCCTTCCTCCACCTTGATAAATATCTCATCTCATTGTTCTTTATTACAACATTCTCTCATCTGGAGCCCCTTATCACATTTCATTCTAGCAACAAGAGCTAGTATGAATTTCGTCTAATAACAACCATTTTTCAGGCTTATCAGACAGTTAAAAATTATGGACTGTGGGTAAGGAATCGATGCAATGCTTTTAGTTGACTAAAATATAAAGTATATGTTGCCAATCAGAGTATAGGCATCAAGAAGGGTATGATTTAAGATAGCTTGCTACTTAAGTAGGCGGAAAAGTGTAGAAATATATTAGTTGCAGATAAGGTAGCAAGTGGTGAAATAATAGTGATGGCAAGACAACATAGTGTACCGGAAAGTAAAAAGCTGAAAAAGGATAGACAAGAAGGAACTCGCTAAATTTGTGCTGTTATTTTGTTCTATCCTTACCGGTCGATGGATAACAGGTTCCGCAGATGCAAGAGAATCGGTAGTAGGCAGTTGATTGTGCGCTACTTTTGACTTTTTCGGGTATTTGTGAGGGTCTCTTAGCGACGGATAGGTCCATTAAAATGCCTGTCTACTTCAGTTACGAAACAATTAGGAAGGGTAAAGTATCTAGTACAACTACAAAGAAGGGGAATACGTCAATTTAGTCTATATATGTAGAGAGCCTATAATGTCTGTTTGGGACGCGGATGTGTTTGTTTAATCTAGATCTGTGCAGGTGAGTTGGCTTGATCGATAAGTCTTACAAACGTATGCAATTTATCTGCCGTGCGTATTTCAGATGGAAAACTGTTCCATATTAATGCATACTTTATAAGGAAGAAGTTTTCCCGAGTTTTTGATCTGTATTTCCCAACTTTAACTGTGGATACTACATCTCGAAGGTCGTATTCATGTGCACTTGCATATATTGTCAATGTAAATTATAAAGAGCAATGGACCCAAGACACTACCTTGCACAACACCATTGGTTATTGGTCGAGGTGTAGATCATGCAGAGTTAATCTTGGTTATTTGGTATCTGTTTGTGAGGAAAGACTTAATCCATTTCAATAAGGGGTTTATAATTTAAACAGACTGAATTCTGTTGATTAGAAGACTATGAGGAAAAGGATTATCTAAGCAAAATGTAACTTTTAAACCCACTTAAAATGATTTCAAGTTTCTTGGTGCACACCTAAAACTCGCTGTGTATACAATGTGTGACTTTATCAATAAAATTTAACACATACTACCTTTGTTCATGTCGCGCAGTTTATAGAGTTCGATAATTAACATGATTACTGAACACTTCGAGATGCGAAATTACAACCTTGTTTGTAACAGTTCATCAATATCCTTGTTATACCTACTGGATGTATTTTACGAAACACTGTGTCCATACAGCAATGTGCCCTGTGAGTTTAACATAACTTCGACCGACAGGCTAAAATTTAGAGGCTTAGTCTTAGTCCTTGGCTTTTTAGTTGACATGCCTGGGTCATGTCCCATGAAAACGATATTTTTCTCGAAACGATGGGAAATAATGCGAGGAGTTGTTTCAGATGAGGTTCTTGGTGGAGACTGAAGACCCTTTCGAATAATTCAGGAGCAGCACTTCTTGACGTCATGTTTGAAACTGTAGGACCACACATTGTTTGTTAATCAATGAACGATAGCCGAAAAGAAACATTTGATGTGGCGTATAGTGATGAACAAGCCCTTTTTAGTAGTAAAGGTAGCGATACTTGGATCCCCCAGTAATTTTGACCCTGATCAGATACTACGACTTCTTTAAATATTCTCATTTTGCCTTTACTGATTGTGAGATTAGGTAAACTTCTGAAGAAATAGTGGGACGACACGGACTGATTAGGAGAAGAGAACGGGAGTGGTGGCAGATTTGACAATCTATCAAAAAAGCGGTTATGAGTGGTACTATATTCTCCCACAAACGTATGCACAAAGCTACATAAATATCACCGGACCACATCACGGAGAACCAAATGGATCGTCTCTGTATCACCAAAAAATTCACAAGGTCAATTAAAGTGTTGAGCTGACATAACTGCAGATCATCACTTGATGGCTGCCAAAATGGAAGTGGAGCTAAAAAAGCACTGAACAACCGAAGAAAAAACACTACAAAGGTTTCACACAGTCTTCGAGATGCCGACCAATTTAACAAATCCAACACAGCTCAAAGCCCTACATGACCCACTCAAAGAAGAGAACAGTGCTATGGAGGACAATGGAAAAGGGATCAAGAAAGCACTAACCTCGTTCATTCGCTGCCGTACCGTGGCTTGTTTACTTCGACTTGATGCAAAACATTTGCTTAGGAATTGACCCAATAAAAGATGATGATTCTAAGTAGTCATACCCTAATTGTTCATTCACAAATGGCTAAACTTCACTAGTCATAAGCACTATCTGTTCTTCTCCCCGCCGTTCTGTTTTTTTGCTCTTTCTCAGTACCTCTATTGCGTACCGCCGAAAAAATCTGTAGAACAACGACTTCGTCCCGCGCCGCCACTTATACTCCTGGAATTTATTCGGCGCTCACCGAAGAAAAGGAAGGCCAAGCCGATCATTGAGATTCAAATACAGAGGGACAGGTGGGTAGGTCACTTTATAGGACTCTTCAATGGACCAGAACCACTGATCCCACCGGATATCGAAGCAGCACTCATAAATCTCCCTTTAGATGTCACTTCACCAACGAAAGAAATCAACATGGCCATCTGACAAATCAAGAGTGAGATATCAGCAGCACCTGACAATATACCAACTGAGGCAATGAAGTCATACATAGAAGTGACTGCAAACATGCTCCATGTTCTATCCAGGAAGATTTGGGGGGGGAGAAAAATTGCTACCGATAGACTGGAAAGAAGGACATCTCGTCAAGATATCAAGGAAAGGAGATATGGGAAAGTGTGAGGACTATGGAGGAACCACATTACCATCAGTACCGGGAAAAGTTTCCGACAGAGTGTTGCTGAACCGGATGAAAGATTCAGTGGACGTCCAGCTTCGAGATCAATAGGCTGGATTCCGTAAGGATAGATCGAACAAAAACTAAATCGCGACACTACGGATCATCGTTGAGTATTCAAATGAATGGAAGTCGTCACTATGTATCAACTTCCTTGACCATGAGGAAGCAATCAATAGTGTGGATAAAAAGAGCTTATGAAATGTTATTCGAAACTATGGTGTACTTGGGGAGTTCGCTGAACGGATACCATCAGGACCAACCTATTATGACAGAGAAGAAACCAACTTAGTTCTGAAGACAATTGAAAAGGTGGGCTCTGGACAGCGTTGGTTGGAGAGTTTTCGTCAATGTTCATTGCTCCTCCATGAAAGGTCACAGGCCTACGTGTGTAGTTTGATACTTAGTTAAGTCTTCAAATAATCAAGATACTGGAGAGTTCGGGTGTTTACAATGTCAGCCAAGTGCCGACCTTCAGTCGGAAGAATACTCGTTTAAAAAGCGTCTTTGTGACACTCCAGATTTCATTAGAAATAAATTTATGAGTGTAGAGCAAACTCTGACAGCTTACAATCAATCCAATAGATTGTTTAAGACCCACTTAATTAGATGGAAACTACTATCGGCTTTTTGCTTCTTGGGTAGAAGACAAGATGGCCGATTCTGTCGATCGCCCTAAAGAAAACTCAGAGGCACATGTACTCATAATGGTTGAGTTCAAGTTAGAAGGTCTAGCTATTTTAGGGAATAAATACGTGACTTACATGGAGTAAAATCATGTGAATCATAAAGCATAGAATTATCAGGCAGATGGCTGTGGAAGGGTTCGTTCATTACTTTCTCCATGACCTGTACTGCGCAGAGCAAGAGAATGATTTCATTTCGAACGACTGAAGACTCACAATTGTTAGTCCACTGTTGGGATGGTTGATATGGCAGTCTGTGTACAAAATTGTGTCAGAACGTCATTGATTTTACTGGAACTTCTTGCCTAGTAGTCTAAGTACCTCATTATATGAAAGCTATACACTGTTAAGCAGAACTGGTCCAGAATATTCAGTTTGGTATGTACTTTTCTTTCATAGTCACATAAGAACTTAATATTACTTGCGCAACTTATTTGTTTCACATAGGTTTTAAAAAAAGACGAATTAGACTTGAAATTTAGTTAGCGATATACTTAAAGATGAGAAAGTATTGTCTCTTCATCTGAGACAATACAAGATTACTTGTTTGGGAGCTTCTGTTATTGAAAAAGTTATTTAATCTAGAGACTCATCCATTGAACCTCTCAGCATGTACGCTGGGCTATAATTTAGACAACCTGAATTCTAACAGTCTCATAATATTGGTGATAGGTTTGAAGCTATTATGTAGGATGAAGAGATTAAGATTGTTAAATCTGTCCAACGGTAGTATCTGTGAGGAACCGTGATAAGTTAAATTAGTGGAATTTATTTTAATAACAGGCAATTAACAGGACTGTTCAATTCGTCCTCTAATGGTCATGAATGAATCAATAAACCATTCAGAGAGCAGTCAATAATTCCACTTGAAGGCATTACATCCTTAAATTCGAACCGAGCGTGGAATAATGCACAAGATATTTGTCGTTATAAACAAACACAGAAAAAATTGATTTTATGAACTCCACAGATAGCTTGAATAAGCGAACTATTTAGGGACTATGACATTGCAGGTAGTTAATAAATAGAAGATACGATCATCCTTCAAAACACAACATATGATATTCATGTGACTTATCCTGAACGAGGAAAGTCTATAATTTGTAAGAGGTGGATAAGTAATGCACGACTCCACTATGTTTTAATGTATGGTAACATTCGAACTTGTGTAAAAAGAACTGTATTTAATGAATTTCTATGTAATTCATGAGAACTTTTAGTCTTCTACTATAGCAACTTATCGATATAATTTATTGAACAAACTATTTGATGCCATCCAAGTTTGGTTACGTCGGCAACAGATAACACCGCATTATGTAAATCGTCACACGTACAATTAGTAATTATTACACAAAAATAGTGAGATATTTTATCTTCCCCCGGAAAATATTTTTCAAAAGATCATGGCAAATGAAATGTTACTATAAATCATAAACAGAAGGAGTAACGTCACAAAACATGTTTGGTCCAACTTATTTGGTAACTGGGTCCTACTCACTGCCTTCTCTCAGCATTACTGTTGTTTATGAAATTGAAAGGACGAAAAGAGAATGTCTGGTGCTTCGACCGGGTTGGTGTACACAGAGAATCCACCTGGGGGAGTTGGAAATCCCTGATTTCAAACCAATGGTGCACATGGGCTCCAGGATCCTGAGGGGACAAATGGTGTATGAACCTATTGTTGATCACCGTCTACCATGCGACTGCATGTTCTGACGTTGTTTCACTGCCTTGTGAATCAGACCCTTAGGTCCAAGGCTCCGGGTATAGCTCTCTAAGAAAATCACGTGCTTCTGTCTGGGCACCCTGACAATATCCCAGACCTCACATATGATTTATGTGGTGCATATATATTTGTCGCCTCGTTGTACCAGTGTTTATGTGTTTAAATAGAATAACAAAATAAAAATAAGTATCATAATAACACTTGTGAGTTTGAAATAAGCTAACAAAATACTGATAATCCCAACAAGTCCAGAACTTCGACAGGACACAAACAAGAACTCAAATTTGATGTAAGTAGTGTGAAATTGCATTGTACGGTTATGGCAGATTTAAAAGCAATATAAAACATTTGACTTTACAGTAAATAAATTGGTTATTCACCTCAAGATGGCTAGCTTTATTGTTTAATTATCTGATTTTTTCGATTCAGAGTGACATTCTTGATTACAAGCGTTATATTTTACTTATGTAGATAAATTTGAAATGAAAGCTGTTTATCAGAATTATGTGATATATTAGCGCAATACATTTCGAACAATCTGATCACACATATACCTGTTAAGGCATTTTTATATGAAAATTAAAAGGTCAACTAGACAGGTTAAGGTAAGAAAATAAATAAAGTACACAAAAACAATGTGATGACTACTCTGGATAATAAATCAGCATTACCAGGGTATGTTAAGGGTAAGAACAAATTGTTTTTGAACACATAAAGGGCGCTTCAATTTCTGTATAGCCAAGGCTTCAATAAACCTTAGTATACGTCCTTGAAGGCTTTTGTACAACACTACAAATGCTGATTTGATGTCAACCTTATGACCAGTTTTAACCAAATGTTCAGCAACGGAGGAAGATGTTTGTCTATCCTGTGATCTTATTTGACCATTGGAATTCATTTGGTTCTGTAGCCATTTAGGTATGTGTTCCGCCACCCAAAAAGCGAGTTTATATTACATTACCATTTAGGAGTGACTCAAATAATCTCATGTTGAGACGGAGACTAAAATTAGCCATTCTATGCAGCTCAACTTGTCATCATTGAAAAGACGAGGTCGATGTTTCACCAAAAACCTAAACAGCACATAAGCGATTGTGTCACATCCCATTGTGTATAATAACTTACATGTATGTGCGGAAACACGTACATAGGGAGGAGCAATCGTGATCTGCAAATAAGGGTGGCGGAACACATACCTAAATGGCTACAGAACCAAATGAATTCCAATGGTCAAATAAGATCACAGGATAGACAAACATCTTCCTCCGTTGCTGAACATTTGGTTAAAACTGGTCATAAGGTTGACATCAAATCAGCATTTGTAGTGTTGTACAAAAGCCTTCAAGGACGTATACTAAGGTTTATTGAAGCCTTGGCTATACAGAAATTGAAGCGCCCTTTATGTGTTCAAAAACAATTTGTTCTTACCCTTAACATACCCTGGTAATGCTGATTTATTATCCAGAGTAGTTATCACATTGTTTTTGTGTACTTTATTTATTTTCTTACCTTAACCTGTCTAGTTGACCTTTTAATTTTCATATAAAAATGCCTTAACAGGTATATGTGTGATCAGATTGTTCGAAATGTATTGCGCTAATATATCACATAATTCTGATAAACTTCGTCTTCTCATTGCATTATCGAAATTTATCAAAGGGACTAATTGTTTTAAAGAAAGCTGTTTAATTTAACGTAATGATTGCACCAACTTAGAAAAACTCCGGAAATTTATTGAAAAAATTATTTTTAAAGAAAGTTGTATTTGTGAATTTATACCGCACATAAAATCACTGGAATCTTATTTTCGTTCCGTTTTTGTCGGACAAAACTATCTCTTTAAGAACCTAAAATCTAAAAATGTTTTATTGACATATCATCAGTCATGTGTTATTTCAGAATTATCTTTGAAAAAATAATCTTAGCAAATATTTCTTTTTTAAGATACATCTTAAAGATTCAATCAGAATTTCGGTTGACCAAACACCAGAATTCAGTTATCATTTTTTCTGAAAGTTTTTAGATCCATTACTTACACACACAGACAGTTAATTAATATAGTGTGCCGATAACTACACATGTAAGATGACAAAATACGATGATGACGGATTTTTAAAGGGGAGTTTTGCCACGCTCTTCCAAGATGATTTGAAGACAAGTGAAGAGAAAAAAAGCAAAATGTCCCACTTACTTAGACAGACACCAATAGATGTATTATCTATGGAATGGCTGATATTAGAAAATCATACTATCGAAGCAAGAGCGTATCTAATTGATAATATTTTGCCTCAAGTTGTTTTGGGTTTGAAATCTATATTGAAAGAGGCAACTCAAAGGAACCTGATTACACTTGACGTGCTGGATGAAACAAGTTATCGAGCAGGACTAGACAGAAATTTCAATCCTGTTAACCGACTAGCTGAATACTTAATGCGTAATAACCACAAACATAATCATTTCAATGAATCTTCACCTTACGTCAGAGGGTTAAGATATACTCTGGCGAAGTTGCAAAATGAAATGTTTATGCAGTCAGGAAACCAGCTGGCTAAAGTAAAGTTAAGTGCTGATGCCCGACGTACAGAAGAAAAACAAAATGAATTGAAAGTCGAAAAAGAATGTGACGCACAAATAGCGATTATTTCCACGATCTGCAACAGCTTGATACCACCTAAAAAGAATTCAACCAATGCAAATATGGTAAGCCATCTCTCTATTTCTAAAATTTTGTCTCGATTCGATTACATAGTTGGGCCAATGTTAGTTGAATATTTTATACTTATCTGTAACAGACTTAGAGATTTTTAGTTGATTAACTTGTGTAAGTACTAGGTCAAAAAATAAGTCTGAAGCATTATGAGCTATATACTACTAGTCTGCTTTAGGCATCAAAAATGAGTATTTAATAGATTAGTTAACTATATTCAAATGGTTTGAACAATTAATCGCCGTTTCATCCCTTTATCCGCCTTAATATATCAGTGATTTGACTGAACTGGTGAAGTTGAATATCATAAAATCGTTCAAATATTGGTTTCACCTCAGATCTTCCCCCAAACTGAAGATAATTGAAAAAATATGGCCACTTCTCAGACTGAAATTTCCGGTTCAAACTTCTACTGTTAGAATTTCTTCTCGAGTCCTCAGGTGTCAAGGTGAATTGCATTTATAGCAATGCAGCAGACATTTTTAGTTTTCGTTGGTATTTACCAAAAAGCGACCAACTTTTTCCACTCTAAAAGTAGTGACAATAGTTAAAAGTACATTGGTCGTGTGCAGCCACATCTGTTATTGTAAACGATAGCAAGAGTAACATATTCCTTTGTCTTCAATTCAAGTCTTTTAGTCTCTAATATGGTTTATATTATTTCTCTAAATTATTATGACGTTTATGGTCAAGTTTTAATCGGTATTCCACCAGCCCAAATATCTTCAATATGCAAAATGTTGAAGTAACAACTATTGTAGCATGTTTAAATTCTGAAATACTTACTCATTTTAGATTGAATGGTGAGAACTGAACCATCATAGAAACATGAAATAGTTCGAAAGACAACGAAAATCATGACACTTAGATATTAATGCTTACACAGCTAAAGGTTTGAACGATAAAGACTTAAATGAATTACCCAGGGATATCTGCGTTCAGGTATTGATTTTTTACAATAAAGTCTATCATTTTTCAGTTGTCAGTACCAGATGAACACGTTAGTTTACCAATTTATGGTTTTAAATTGAGTTACCAATCCTGAAGAACTTGTAATATAGATAGTTTAAGACTATAAATACCACAGATTTATTAGTTTTGCCGGCGTAAAACCAAGCTTTACAGTTTTCAGCCGGTTATATTCAAATATTAGTTTGTGGGATAACGTGTGTGGTAATTAGTGTATCCACTGTACCTAATAAGTTTCTTCTAATTATGCATTAGCAGAGCACTATCTTTTGTCGACAAATTAGCCTATAATATCAAACATTTGACATTTTATAGGTTTCATTTTTACAAGAAACCGTCCAAATCAACGCATAAAACATGTATCATTCAAAGTTACTTGAAAAATAGGAAAAACAGATGTCTCGTATTGCTAAACTTTTACATTAACGAAATAGTACATCTTAAAGAATGGTCGAAAAATCTACTTATTAGTACAGATTTGTAACCAGTGTTTAACAATAATGTATTTCATTCAAATTTTTTATTCTATGGAGAAAAGATAGAAAGAACTGATAAAAAAGTGAACTGAGCATAAATGTGATTTAAATAACACAGCTTTGTTATAGTTCATATTATTTAACTTATTTATACTTACGGGATAAACAAAATTATTTTCTCGCTTTGTGCCTGGTAACTCAATTTTTCGGTTCCAAAATGTCTGTTAGGCAATGAGCGTTGGTTTTTAATTGAATTGTTAACAAACTATAGGTGAAATAGATAACTACATTGGTTTTAACACCGTGTATGATGATCAGTAGTGAGACAAATCATTTGTTTAGGTACCTCAGTATTTCAGTGTTTGCTCATATAACGTCAGTTGTGGTGAAGAATATGTTGAATGCACCTCAGTTATCGTATATATTACAGCCTTTGTGATGGTAACCGGCTGCAACGATCATTGTATGACCATAGATATGAATTATCAGCTAACTTCTAGTGGGCGGTCTTTTCTCTTCCACCAGGGGTAACAGGCACAAGTAAGTATGTGAACTTCATAAGTGACTAAATAAATAATATATTTGTAATATCCCAATGAGTAGAAAAATTAGATTTTCTGACGTTTCGTGACTCAGTGTAAGCCACTTCTTCAGAGAATAAATAACCAAATTAACATTAATCCAAGTTTAAATAGTACAACGGAACAATCCAAGAATATTAGGTGATCAATCAAAAACAGGTCTGAATAAATCACTGTCACGTCATTTCATTTCGGTCATTTCGGACCTTGACCGAAATGAAATGACGTGACAGTGATTTATTCAGACCTGTTTTTGATTGATCACCTAATATTCTTGGATTGTTCCGTTGTACTATTTAAACTTGGATTAATGTTAATTTGGTTATTTATTCTCTGAAGAAGTGGCTTACACTGAGTCACGAAACGTCAGAAAATCTAATTTTTCTACTCATTGGGATATTACAAATATATTATTTATTTATAACAATCTACCCAATGCTCAATTTATTCAAAATTATCAAATCAAGACTTGGTAATGATACCTACAAATTCATAAGTGACTGTTTGTTCAATAGAGTATTCGTTAACATAATTCATCATATAGATAAACAAACTCATATAATTACGTTCTACTAATAACAATAACTGCTGGTTTATCTTTGTATTCTATTCAAGTTTGTGTGTCTTATTTATTGTAGATAGAAGATGTAGTACTTGCATTTATGGAACTAACTAGTAAACTACCGGAGGAAATGAAACAATGGTTGGTGCAAACTTTTAAAACTCAACTAGCCAAAGACTATCAAGCGTTTTATGATAAAGGACAATTTGTTAAGGTGAGTGAATTCGAAAATTCCACACTTTAAGTGAAGTGAAGATAGGATAAGCTTGATAAGGTTTAAAAAAAGCATGCGTCTGTTGTGCTTGCATTGTTTAACGAGATATGATTAGTTGTTTTCTAGACCACACAACTCAAGATGTTCCCCATTTTCGCTTATTTTGTCCATAGATGAATTTTTGTATAAGAATGTTAAATTTTTATCTCAAAAATTCGGCTTTATAGCATTGATCATGTTTCAAATGATTTTTATATCATGGATGGGGTAAAATATGGAGATGTTTGATAAAGTGAAACTAACAGTTATTTACTTGCATTCGTGTCCTTTGGTCTATCACATATTTCTAAAAAATTAATTCTACTTGTTACCTTAAATTTTTAGCAGTAATCATACATCAATTTTATAAAGCTGTGAAGTTTATTGGATATCCGCCTTCACGGTGAAATGCTATTTAAATACCATTAACAAATAAAAAAATAGATTTGCATTTCTTTTTTTGGCTATGACTAACATGTAGTTTAGGATTCAATGAAATCGATCGACTGACGGTTAACAAGTTATGCTATATAAAAATGTCATGAAACAACAATATAACTGTATTACAAAATGAATCATTTTTGTTTTCCACCTTTTGAGCTGTTGCTACTTCTGCCATACAACCATGACTATGGTAAGTGAGTTAGTCCAAGAATTTGAAAAGTATGTAGTTCATTTCATTGACAAAAAGAATCAAGATAGAAAGTAATCAGAAATGTGTTATTTAAATACAATTTGAACTGAGAAAAGTTGTAAAAAAATTAACATCGTTCGGAAACATGATGTATCGGGTTATTGACAGAAACTACAATTTTCAACATTAACGTTAAAACACTTCTGTTGTTAAAACGTGGAGAACTTCCACAACCATCATCAAAAGTGTACAGGCACTTATAAACAGATGTCTATGTTAAGAACTCCGAATCCATTGGCTAGGAACTATCAACAGTAACCTACTATGGAAAAAAGCAAACTGGTTTTCGGCTGAAGAAGAAACTAGGAAATGACCCTAGAGTTCGATAGAACACAGTTTACGGGGACCATAAAACCCATTCACAAGTCAAGCCATAATTTGGAATGCTGGATGCAAAAGTAAAGGGAGGAGACTAAAAAGCAGTTGGTTCCAGGGATTGGTAGCAGAAGTGAAAATCATAAATAGTGGAAAGGGAAGCTCAGGATATAGTTGATTGGAGAGTCCGAGTGGGCGACCTATGCCGCAAGACGAGCACTAGTCCAAGGCGAAATAAAAGCCTATTACTAAGTATATATATAATTATCTGTTAGAGGTAATATGATATACGAACTAATGTCTATTACTTACCCAGTATTACAAATTACCTCGACAAGCATTTGCTAAAGTTAATAATCTATTCATTCTAAATAGTAGCTTTATTACACTTAAAAAATATATTTATTCAGACTGGAGTGAATTAGGTGGATACAAATAAAATCCATAGGAAATAACACTGAAAATTAGACGTTATGATACTGATAACTCGGGGGAAACTTGGGTTACTTATGGTTTTGTGGTCAGCTGATTTATTGAATATTTGTGTGGTGTTTTAGATTAGTAAAGAGACAGAACTGATAACTCTAACTTCATTTGACTCTAATATCTTGTGATTATCATGAATACACATTAATTCACATTTTACCAGAGCATTCGATTTAATATTCCATCTTGGATTTTTAGTCTATTTAAGAGCATTATTTGATAAGTAATAGACTAAAGTTGTTCAACTAATAGTTTGGATATCAACACTGCCCTAAATCTCCCACTTATTAAACAGAATAGATTGACTTATAAATTGAGTTCTCTGTTTATGTGTTATCTTACTTATATATTCTTATTTGATAATCTGTCTTTCTAGTGTCTCATGATATATGCTAGATTGATGTCGACTGATGTTTTCGAGCAGTTTACAGAACATCTAAGACTTTGTACGGTAGAATTTCGTAAAGCAGAGAAAAGAGAAGAACGACGGGAATTATTAAAAAGTTGCTTCCGTTCGTGTGATTTAGATCAGGTAAAAATATCTATTTATATGAATGTACACAAAAATTGACGATTGATAGTCTCAGTTCAACTCATTTCTTCTCAATTTTGTGCATTATTTCCCATGTTAATGATAACGGTTATAATTTTATTTACTAGTGTTTCTCCTATAAGTAGCCGTAATCATTCTGATCAACCTACTTAAGTCATTTGTCTATCACAAATTGATGCGATCAGTATTTTATGATTAGTTTTGATTCAGTGCTGACAAAACCTTTCTTGTTTTTATGTCCCAATGGATACATTATGATTAGTTAAATTATTTACAAAACCTAGTCATAATTTTGATGTTTCTTTCTGAGTTTAACATTTAAAATACTTACGACTAATAACAAAGCTGCATTTCCTTATTGAAAAACGTATGAAAATACACTGAAATATAAAAACATAACTAAAGATTAGTTATTGAGTCCTCTCTATGTGTTACAGTATGAATCAGAATATTCGTAGTATGTTAATTGTGAATACATCAGTTATACTTATAGGAGAGTTAGATACCAAATCGATAGATTTTACATTACATTTCTCAAACAAATCGTCTGTATAATGCAGAATAACTAGTTTTGAGGAATAAGAAAAACCAAATCAAATTAGACTTTAAAGTCAATTTATTTTTCATAGTTGAAATCATGAGTCAATTGAAGCTAGACCACCATGGAAAATCTGGAAGCACTGGAAGGCCGTTTCGTCCTATTATGGGACTCCTCAGCAATGCGCATCCAGTGCTTCCAGGTTTTCTATGGTGGTCTAGTTTCAATTGACTCATGATTTCAACTATGGAGAATATTGAAATCTCCACAAAACCCCTTCAGGTCAATTTATTTGTATAATATATTTTGATGACTAAGCTCCTAGTGCCAGATAAGATGACAGATCTAAAAAAGTCATTCTTATAAGTTGTAAAAATTATACACCAATTCATTACATGGGTTTCAGAAGACTTTGTAATGAACAAGGATAATAAACAATTTTCTACTTAGTGCTTGTTCTGTTGGTATTGATTTATCTGTTTTTATGAGAAATTTCCGCTTGAAATTCCTGTTACGGACAATAGCAGAAAATTTCAAGCTATCGTCAATACATCTAACATCTATATTTAAACATCGGTATGTCTACACAAAAATAAACTCATTTGTCGACTCATGTATATGTATGCCGTCATCTTAACTTTCTTTTAAATCTCTTATACCTTCGATTGAAGAGTTCAATGAATAAAAAATAAAAAAAACCCATAGGGACTAAAGAAATTTTAATAGTCTTATTGTAATAGAATCATTACACAACAATTATAAGCTTTCTTTCAAATGAATTACCATATTGAGAATCCGTTTTGTCGTTTTATTATTCATATTAAGTTGAATGAATTATCTCGTGCTCAAGTTTTCCAACTATGTGAAGATTACTTTGATACATGTCAACAAATTATCAAAGACATGATCCACGATCCAAGAGATTGTAAGCTATAATTACATATTTTTTGATGTTTATTATTATAGAGTAGGCTATCATTTGAAATTGTTGGATTATACGAAAAAGATATCCAGCCAACTTATTTGAGTTCATTTTATAGGATATGTTAGTTTTAGTGATCTGACATTATACTAATCTATGTAAACAGTGAAACTGTTATAACTGGATTCGAGAGAAATAAAAACTAGATTTTACAATGACCTTCTTTGATGACTAAATTGCAAATATCAAGTGCGTAGTAGACGACGATACTCATCAACAGATGAATAAATGTAGTTTTTGTTAAGTGTCTACTGAAACAATCAATTATTTCTACTTATATTTCACTAGTTATTATAAAAGCTTTATAAATTAACATGATGGAAGTTTTGCAGAGGTGTTTTAGTTTGAATTCAGTATTTATCATGGATTTGTAGTAGGGTCGAGTCGAGGACGGACTATGATCACTACTACTGTACGACTACTTGCCCAGAAACGACTTGGTTCCTTTGATAACGCGTAAACCAGAAGGCTTTAATTACTTCAGATCAAGTATATTTATTGGCGATCTCGTGGTATCGATCGAATATCGAGACGTACCAACGAGTACAGGCGAAATGGGCAGAGCGTAATAAAGTTCGAACCGAACAAGGCGGATAGCGGAACAAGAAGTGAGTCTGATTCAGTTAAACAAGTGCAGTAAAACAATCAATGGTACAATTGGTTACAATAATAATAATAATAATTTCTTTTATTCCAATCGTGTTCTTATCGAGACCAGCCGGTCACTACAGATTTATGTTAGCTGAAAACCCATTGAAAATCAAGAGAGTGAATAGCTGTTTCGTTCAACTAAGTAACCACTTACTAATGTCAGCTTACAACTTCATGTAAGATCGAATTTACTGCAAAGAGGTTTTAGGATGAGCAAGATACTTCAAGGATACTGAGTTAAAATCCAATGGTTCGTACTTGCTTTTAAAATCTTTGTTACTATCTGACATGATGAAATTCATTCGGCATTGTTATCAGTGAGCTAATGTTTAAGGGGAAACATATTTCATTTGACATAGTATATTATTATTAAAATGTCAATTAAAATCTAGAAGGTTGTTAAAAGTCATATCTCTAGTTTCTATGATATTTAGTAAGCGGAAAATGTTCCTAAATTATAATGACTTGAAATTAATTTCAATATCACTGACAATATAAAACTAGTAGTCTAAATTACTTCAATTTCACTTTTAGGGTCTACAAGAGAATATCATTTGAAGTTATCTGTAACAGAACCTGTTACATCTATGAACACAAATGAATGTCAATTTTTTTCTAAAGTTGATGATGATAACAACACAGAGGACAAACAACACTCTCTACTAAATTACAATGGAAATAACTCAGACAATGACATTCAACATGATGATAGCATCTCATTACAACTAGGTACTCGGCACCTGGACGAAATTACCGTCTTTCCCATTCAGTCTGATATTGAAGGTAATTAGAGTATTTTTGTAGTCTACTTTGCACAAACTGAGAAAAGTTGAGATATATTTCTATTTACGTTTTAAGTTTATCATTGTGTATAAAATCTTGCCTAGCTCCTTAACGTTTATAAAATACTCGTTTCATACTTTAAAACAAAGCTATTCGAAATGATAATGTTTACATTATCTACCCACTGTTGAAGCAACTATACTTGATGTTTTTCATTTTCTCAGTCTCTCCTAGTGACTTAGTTTTAAAGTATTACACTATCAGTGAAAAATATATACTCTGTTTATTCTCAAATTAAGATTTAATCCGGCGATTCCTTTCATAACTTGCTATGAGGTTAAATGGTTGAAGGTGATCAACACGAAACCAAAGATTCAGGCATTGTGTTCTTTAAATTATGTGAAGTGTCAATCTAATGCATAATTCATAATAGTTTATGTAACTAGAAATTCAAAACTGTTCTCTGAATTATCACCAATTATATAATTTGTATTTATTATTTAGTGAAGTATCCAACCAGATTCAGAAAATTCTTGCACAAAAGGTTAAAATCTGATATAATACCAGTTTCTAGTGATGGAAGCACTACTGAGTAACTGATTACACATCAGAATTACGGTTTCCTTTGATGCTATGGTTATTGCCAGTTCCTCTATCTGTAAGGAATATTTTCTTAAAGTAGAAGCCTTGGTTTTCTAAAAACGGTAAAAAGTGAAGGGATGAGGAAGTAGAATGAAGTTAGTAAACATTAAAATAGATAGAGTGAGATGAGAATTTCATACAACATCAGAGCTCGGTTAGAGTTACAGTGACATATTCTATTGTAAGCCCTATTGTAAGCCCCCCAAAATAATGTAACATCAAGTTTTATAGCTTAGATTCTTTTGTTTTCTCTCCAGAATTCTTGTCCTAATTTGATAACCATGTCGTCTTCATTGAGCCTTGCTTTCATTTTGTCTTCTAATCTATGTTAGCCGTTGTTCGTGGTTATTTATTAACTAAATATTTAGACCTGTTGCATGATAATATGGTACTGATAATACTCTCTAATTAAAGAAGCTTTTTCTTAATGAACTGTTTTACAACTATGACTTTGCTTCTAGTGATGTCCTTATCTGTATTGTTTAAGCAAACGTTTGTCTCCCTACTAACAAATGTAAGTATCAATAATCCTTCATGTGAGTTTAGTAGTAAAAATTTAAGCTTCTTTGATAAAATATTTCCAACTTTATTATGAAGTTATAAGTTCTTTCGAAATCTTGGAGTTTATTTCAGCGGATTGATGAATATTATTATGCTGGATAGTATTATATTTACTGAGTTTCACACAACTGTAATTTATTTCGCTGAATTTTTTCGAACATATTTACTCATTTAACTGTTTGTTTTTTAGTCTGGTTGCTATAGCTCCACGTCATTACATCAGTATTTCAGACTGTTTCAGCATAAATATCTCGAATTTCCATGATATTTTGTTACGTGACCAAGATATGAGGGTTAAAGATGAGTTGTTCTAGAGTTCATAAGTTTAATCATCTGGTAAACAGAAAGCTCGTAGATATTTTCGTAATTTAAGAAGTTTATGCATAAATAATGTACAATAACCTACCTAAACCCTTTTATACCTATTGGTAAAGATTTATTGCTGAAGTATATGTTAATGTTTCGTGTTATCTGGTCAGGGTCACATGATTAGCTAGTTTCTAATGTCTTACCAAATTATTAGACATCAATTTCCACTGATAAATTAACTGATTACAATATTTTAGACTGAGAATATCTCAGATCTAACCTCTGTTCTTCCAACACATTTTCGCAAAACTATCCTGTACGCCCTGATTAGATTACAATGCAAACCAATGAAATGAGTTTTCAAGTAAGTTGAATGAATTCGTTACTTCGCTTTATTACTAGATCAAACGGAATAAGCTATTTCTTGATCTTAGCCTAGTTAAATACTGTTTAACTTTCAAGCATCATGATGCACTATTCTTCATTGAAATTCCCAAAAGCTACAAGTCTAGCAACTTTATTTGAAAGTGATAATCTTAATATAACTATGCAGAAGCTCTTAATGTGGAACAAAGTGATAATAGACATTGACATAAACTTCTCTTGTCAGCAAGTTATAAGGAGCATCCGAAGTCAATAGATGTCTCAAGCATTTAAGATGATGATAACAGATAAATAACGTTCTCTTTTATATATTTAACAGGTATAAATTAAGATAAATCATTAAAAAAAAATAATTAGTCGTTGCATTTTAGTTCACTAGAAGAATCGTTTATTTTTCTAGTATTGTTTCACTTTGGTACTTGATCAAAATACATAATTTAAAACGACATCTATATAAATTCTTTTACATAATACTTATTAGATCAATTGATAAAGACTTGTCAACTGGCCGATACAGTTGGTATAACACAAAATCAGTTTATCAATATTATGGAGTTTATAATACCAGAAACTGCTCCTTTGAAAATTTTTAATGATTGCTTAACATATTTGAAAAGATATAAAGTTTCAGCTGAAGAACGTGAGGAAAGAAGACTCCAGGTAGATATTTTTGTACAATATTAGTTGATTCATACATAAACATGTAAATTTAGGTAAAAAGCAAATGGTACGTTGAAAATACGATACCATTATTTAATTCCTGAGTCTAATGAATTATTATTAAACTGTTCATAATGGAAAATTAAATAATCTAGTATCTCTCGACGAACTTTAGTTTCACATTGAAGATTTTGATCTAACTAGACATCTCTTTTTAGGATGGACAGATTGTACTGGTAATGTTCAATTTTAAATTAGATGATGGGTGAATGATAGGCAAAAATTTGAAATGATTTAAAAAAATAACACAAAACAGGTCTGCAGCTGATAAATAACATTCAAAATATATAAATTTCTCTCCTCAAACACTTAATTAAAGTGCAGCAACTATGATACTCGTGAACAAGGCTGTTACATAGAAGGATATCATCAGTTAGTCGTTGTTGATTTGAGTGTCCTTAATTTTATCCAGCAATTGTATGAGAGATTTGATGAATCCACGAAATATTTCAATATTTGTGAAATTTCTCGTGAATCCATGAAAGTTCTTGACGGAAACTATCACAAGAAAAGTCAATCAGGTTGAGAGTAAGACATCAATTCACCGGTAACGCTATTAAGATATCTGTTTATGTCACAGAGCAAATGAAGTTTTAACTCAATAACCTAAATTTATCTGTCTTTTTTTGCTAATGGTGAGTATTATAGGTTTCATCCTGTTTTGAGGAAACATAAATGAATTACTATAAAAATAGAATAACCAGATTTTCAGTATTTCCTCGTAGCATTAAGCTAGTTCAACATCATAATTTAAAAACCGAATAACCTTGGATTTAGGTGGAAAATATGGATTGTTGCCTTTCTAGGAGTAAGTCAATTTACTGACTATATTATACGAAATAACTTATGAATCCTCATAATTAAAAAGGAGTAGAAACAAACTTGTCCACTTCTCTCATAGATATATATTAAGGTTCAAATAAGTTATTTCTTGAATTACCATGGGATCCCAGTAGTTGTATTAGTTCATTGTCTAAAATTCCATAAAAGATTAGGAAATATTTTATTTCATTCAGAATTTATAACATTTCATCAAATCCATTAAAGGTTTCCATTGCGTATTTGAAGTTACTAGACTAAACCTAATACTGATTACCACAAATATAATAAACCTGTCTATTCCACTTTAAATTGTAGCATTTTCGGAAGAGTTCAAGAATGGGAAAACATCAACTACTGAACAAAATATTCCACAAATTAGATCAAGAATGTTCTGGATTGTTAAACCTTAGGAAAATTGAAGATTTTATATTAAATTATGAAGATGGATTTTATGAGGGTCATTTGAAACAAGGTAATTAAGATAGTTTGTCAAAAAATTATTTTAGTGCTGTCATATTATTTATGACTTGTTTGTAATTGCTAGGCTCATTTTATAACTGTATCTGAATCACGATCCATTCTCAGCGGTTGTTAATAATATGAATATTATTATTACTTTGGAAATCTTAAACATTTTTGAAACGATGATTGCTGAAATTCTTTCTGAAATTTGTGATTCAGTCGAAATTTAGCTGGCAATGATAGTCTTCTTATGAAACGAACTTAGGAATGTTACAAAAAACGCAAAGATTTTGTCAAGTTTCACTCTACACCCACATAATGCGAAACAGAAACAGATTATCGAAAAACTGTATCCTACTTTTCCTATTACAGTATTTCCTTTCTGTCTTGTTTTAGTAATTCAGTAATATCTTCAGAATTCCAAAGTTTGATTCAAGCTATACTGATAACATTATCTTGATAAGGATCTTTCCTACGATATCAATGTAAATATGAAACTAAGCATAACAATTAAGAAGAATGTATATAAGTGTAGTTGTAAGAATCAGGCTTACCAATCATAAATTACTTGAACTTAAAATACATTTCAAATACAATGTATTCATCAGTCACTCGCAAATTCTCAAGAAAAGGATAACAAGAGGACAGAAGTTAACAACAGTCCAACAAGAACATAGAAAGTCAAGGCAAAACCTGAGTACACTGAAGCAAAAAAGCAAGTGAAGAGCAGCATTAGGGCTGACAAGCAGAAATACAGGGAGGAACTAGCAAAGACAGTGGAAAAAGCTGCAAGAGAAGGAAATATGAGACAACTATATGACACAGCTAATAAACTGGAGGGGAAACATAGTAAACCAGAGCGACCACCCAAGGACAGGAAAGCCAAGCCAATCACTGAGATTCAAATACAGAGGGACAGGTGGGTAGGACACTTTATAGGACTCTTCAATGGACCAGCACCACTGATCCCACCGGACATCGGAGCAGCACTCATAAATCTCTCTTTAGATGTCACTTCACCAACGAAAGAAATCAACATGGCCATCTGACAAATCAAGAGTGAGATATCAGCAGCACCTGACAATATACCAACTGAGGCAATGAAGTCATACATAGAAGTGACTGCAAACATGCTCCATGTTCTATCCAGGAAGATTTGGGGGGGGAGAAAAATTGCTACCGATAGACTGGAAAGAAGGACATCTCGTCAAGATATCAAGGAAAGGAGATATGGGAAAGTGTGAGGACTATGGGGGAATCACATGACCATCAGTACCGGGAAAAGTTTCCGACAGAGTGTTGCTGAACCGGATGAAAGATTCAGTGGACGTCCAGCTTCGAGATCAATAGGCTGGATTCCGTAAGGATAGATCGAACAAAAACTAAATCGCGACACTACGGATCATCGTTGAGTATTCAAATGAATGGAAGTCATCAACATATATCAACTTCCTTGACCATGAGGAAGCACTCGACAGTGTTGATAAGATGAGCTTATGAAATGTTATTCGGCACTATGGTGTACTTTAGGAGTTCGTCGACATCATCCAGAATTCATACGATGGACTACACTGCAAAGTCATGCATGAAGGACCACTGACAGATGTACTGCAAGTGAGGACCGGTGTCAGACAAGATTTCTTGCTTTCACTCTCTTTCTTCTGGTGATCACTTGGATTATGAAGACCTCCACTTCTAAAGGGAATTGCAGAATACAATGGACAGCCGGGATGCAAATAGATGATTTGGACTTTGAAGATGACCTAACTATTCTCTTTCATACATACCAACAAATGTAGATGAAGACGACCAGTGAAGCAGCAGCCTCTGCATAAGTAGTCCACCAGGGGTAAAACAAGATCCTCAAATACAATAAGGAGAACGCCAACCAAATCACAATTGGCGGAGAAACTCTAGGAAATGTAGAGACCTTCACGTACCTGGACGGCATCGTCGATGGACATGAAGGATCTGGTCCAGGTGTAAAGGCAAGGATTGGCAAGCTAAGGGCACCATTCCTACAGTTGAAGAACATTTGGAACTCACAACGACTGTCAACCAATATCAAAGTCAGAATCTTCAATACGAACGTCAAAACGGTTCTACTGTACGGAGCTGAAATGTGGAGAACTACCACAACCATAATCAAAATGTACAAGTATTTCTAAACAATTGTCTACGTAAGATACATCCGTGCATTGGACGGATATAATCGGCATTGACCTACTGTGGGAGAGAACAAACCAACTTCCAGCTGGAGAGGAAGTTAGGAAAAGACGTTAGAATTGGATAAACATACATTAAGGAAATAATCAGACTTCATCACGAAGCATTTCTAACTTGGAATCGTGAAGGGAAATGGAAAAGAGGAAGGTTATAGAATAGACTGCACCGAGAATGAAGGATGAATAGCAACTGGAAATAACTGGAGAGAACTGCCCAGGATAGGGTCGAATGGAGAGAGCTCATGGGCGGAATATGCTCCTCCACGAGGGTTAACAGTCATAAGTAAGTAAGTATAGTCGGCCAGCTACAATTAGCTGAATGTCACATTCATTTTATTCTAGATGTTTCTCATGTTCATGGACTGGTGTAATTGTACAGTACACTCTAACTTATCTTTGAGTATTAAAAAAGGACTAACTACGTGTCAAAGTAGCTTTGAATATTGCAAATTATTTTTAAAGCAGCTTATTTTAACATTAAGGCAGAGGAAAGATAGAATTTCAGAACTGAATAATGCTTAATTTATTGTTTTATTTAGTGAAAGTCAAATTATATTTTTCCCTACCATTATTGGTGTGTTTTTAGCTAAGTCAGATTTAGCTTCTAATATTCAATCGACTGCAAGGTCTTTTTCAACGTCTAGTGACCAAGTAACTTCAAGTTCTGCATTTAACAGCAGTTTTATATCATCATCCGAGACGTTTAGTGGTCAATCATATCTTCAAAGGTCAGTTAATCAACTACAAAATCTACATTATTACTATTATCCAGAAAAGTCAGTTGAAATAAATATCACTGACTTCAAAATTTTATTAGATGACATATTTTGGCCTAAAAATAATCAATATCTTAGTGGTCATGATGAATATGACTTCAGTTGTTTGGAAAAGTTTCTTAATTACTTAAAAGAAAAGTTAGTACAAACTATACCTGAGAAAATAAGGACACAAATTCGACGAGAATGGATAGAGAAAATTTTAGCAGTTTCACTGAATACATTTGATAATTCAATGGAATTAGTTTATAAAACCATTTTCCAGGTAAGATAACTAATTGTATTCTATGGTTGAAAGACAATATAATTTAAATTAACATGATTAAATCTGATTATTCTATCACAATAAGTAAATATCTGGTTTCTACTATGTAGAATTATCTTATAAATACCACCTTACCTCAATATATATATATATATATATATATATATATATATATATATATATATATAGTGCAAGCAGTGTCGAGCCACCTAGACTGGTGGCCACATTGCAACTTGATCGATAGCATTCGATCAGCACTAAGAAGGACTTGACATGCATGACATTGATCACCACCCAGTGATCAATCAATTGTGATTAGATCTCAGTCCTACAGGAGGTTGGTCGCGGCTCCAATAGCTCAGTGGTAACGTCTCTGACTGTGAAGCTGAGTGACACGAGATCGAATCCGCAGGCAGCATCAGTTTCCTCAAAGATTACAGGTACACCTAGCTGACGAGAGCCAAGTAGCACGAAACCCGGGTCCAGGGTTTCCTGTTGACCACCTCCAACCACCACCTTATCTCAACATAAATACTTATTTACTTACGCCTGTTACTCCCAATGGAGCATAGGACGCCGACCAGCTTTCTCCAACCCACTCTGTCCTGGGCCTTCTTTTCTAGTCCCATTCAGTTCTTGTTCATTCTTCTCATGCCTGTCTCTATTTCTCGGCGTAATGTGTTCTTTGGTCTTCCTCTTCTCCTTTGACCTTCAGGATTCCATGTGAGGGCTTGACTTGTGACGCAATTGGGTGATTTTCTCAAAGTATGCCCAATCCACTTCCAGCGCTTCTTCTTGATTTCTTCCTCCGCTGGTTTGTTGTCTCCCACAGTAACTTATTGCTGATAGTGTCTGGCCATCGGATCCGAAGTATCTTGCGTAGACAACTGTTAATAAACACCTGTATCTTCTGGATAATGGCTTTCACAGTTCTCCACGTCTCTGCCCCATACAATAGAGCTGTCTTGGCATTTGTATTGAAAATTCTAACCTTGGTGTTGGTTGACAATTGTTTTGAGCTCCAGATGTTCCTCAGTTGTAAATATGCTGCTGTTGACGTCTTCATGATCCAGTCGATCACCAGGAGGAAGAGAAAAGGTGAGAGTAAGCAACCTTGCCTTACACCGGTCTTTACCTCGAATGAGTCGGTGAGTTGTCCTCCGTGGACGATTTGGCAGTTTAGTCTTTCATAGGAGTTCCATATGATATTGACTATCTTCCTAGGCACGCTGTAGTGTCGAAGAAGCCTCCATAGTGTTGTCCTGTCCACGCTATCAAATGCCTTCTCGTAGTCAATGAAGTTGATGTAGAGTGATGAATTCCATTCGATTGATTGTTCCACAATGATACATAGAGTTGCGATTTGGTCTGTACACGATCGATCCTTACGAAATCCAGCTTGTTGATCTCGAAGTTGGGCATCTACGGAATCCTTCATCCTGTTTAACAATACTCTGTTGAAGACTTTTCCTGGTATTGAGAGGAGAGTGATGCCCCTGTAGTTGTCGCACTTGCTCAGATCGCCTTTCTTTGGTATCTTGATGAGAAGTCCTTCTTTCCAGTCTGTTGGTACATGTTCTTTGTCCCAAATCTTACTGAAGAGGATGTGGAGTATCTTTGCAGTTGCTGCTACATTTGCTTTCAGTGCCTCTGCCGGGATGTTGTCTGGTCCTGCTGTTTGGCCGCTCTTGATTTGTCTAATGGCCATGCTGATCTCTTCAATTGTTGGTGGGCCAACATCGATTGGGAGGTCTGTGGGTGCTGCTTCGATGTTGGGTGGGTTCAGTGGAGCTGGTCGATTCAAGAGTCCTTTGAAGTGTTCTACTCACCTGTTTCGTTGTTCTTCAATGTCGGTGATTACTTTGCCTTCCTTGCTTTTCACTGGTCTTTCTGGTTTACGGTAATTTCCAGAGAGTTTCTTTGTTGTATCATACAGTTTTCTCATGTTTCCCTCTCTTGAAGCCTTTTCCGCTGTCATTGCTAAATCTTCCACATATTTAAGTTTGTCGGTTCTGATGCTCCTCTTCACTTGCTTGTTTGCCTCTGTGTATTCGGCTTGTGCCTTGGCTTTTTCCGCTCTGATTCGGCTGATATTGATTGCTGCCTTCTTGTTCCTCCTTGCTTCAATCTTATCCAGTGTACCAACAGTGATCCATTCCTTGTGATGGTGCTTCTTTTGGCCCAGAACCTCTTGACACGTTGAAACGATTGCCTCCTTGATACCTTTCCAGTTGCTCTCCATGGTAGTTTTCTCTCCATTGAGTAGGTCATGAAAGGCCTGGAACCTATTGCTGAGGGCTATGTTGAATTTGTTGAGTTTGTCAGCATCTCGAAGAAAGGCCGTATTAAACTTTTGTGATGTTGTCCGCACCGTTGTCCAGTGCTTCTTGAGTTTTAGTTTCATCTTGGCGACCTGCAAATGATGATCGGATGCTATATCAGCTTTTCTTCTGGTTCTCACATCCTCCATCGTCCTCCTGAACTTTTTGTTGATGCAGATACGGTCGATTTGATTCTATGTGGAGTGATCCGGTGAAATCCAAGTGGCTTTGTGTATGTTTTTGTGTGGGAATATGGTGCCACCTATGACCAGCTTATTGAAGGCACATAAGTTTGCAAATCTCTCACCATTTTCGTTCCTTTCTTCCAGTCCATGTCGTCGCATAACGTCTTCGTATCCGATGTTGTCCATTCCAACCTTAGCATTGAAATCTCCCATCAGAATAGTCAGGTCCTTGGTTGAGCATTTCTCGAACATTGACTGCAGCCTATCGTAGAATTGGTCTTCAGCGTCTTCATCGTAGTCGTTGGTAGGCGCATAGCATTGGATGACGTTCATTGTAATGCCCTCTCTCTTTGTTTTGAAGGAGGCTTTGATGATCCTTGGTCCATGAGATTCCCATCCAATAAGTGCATTTTGTGCTTTTCTGGACAGCATCAGTGCCACTCCTTGTGTATGTGGGGCATTTTCTTCTTCATGATCGGAGTATAACAGAAGTTCCCCTGAAGATAGTCTTTGTTGTCCAATCTGCGTCCAATGTGTTTCACTGATTCCAAGCACCTCCAGGTTGTATTTTCTCATTTCTGCAGCGATTTGGAAGACTCTTCCGGTCTCCCACATTGTCCGGACATTCCATGTACCTATAAAAATTGTCGCTCTGGTTGTTAGAAGATGCATCGGCCTCATGACTTCCGAAGGTACTAGGCTTTCATCATGAGACGTCATAATTATTCCTTCTACTCGCAGCGCAGCGTTTAAGTGGTTTGAATAATTTTTTCTGGTTAGCGTTTGTTTAGCGAGTTGGTTTTCTACGGGATGGGGTCGTTAACTCCATGCCCAATTATGATAATTAGAAGTATTTGAATTGTAGTATGAACTAGTAATCCCAGGAATGACGCAATTTAATCAAGAAGTATCAGATGAACTCGAACGAATGTATTGTATTTGGAATTCAAAATTACAACAGTCATCAATACTAAGAAGTCATTGATTTATTTAAACATCACATCCGCCACAGCTCGAATTGAAGTGTAAGTGTCTGTAATCGATTGTTTGTCTTCTTCTTAAGTTCATCCTACATCTGTCCGATGGTGTATTGAATGTACACTCTGTATTATCTAGAATGCACTCTGGGTTCTAGAATTGTATACAATCAGCATGTCGGTTGTGTAGTGAAACCATTGATATTTAGAATTTGCATCATGGACTTTCCAACAATATCCTCCCCCACGAAATAATGTTGGGTCCTTGATTCGCAATGTTTTAGCCAATATGACGTTCCCAATTTGCATTATCTCAAATCTTACGCACCGACTACTGTATGTGAGTATTTGGGAATAAACACTGATATATAATTTGAGGTATTCCATCATGTGACTTTGACTTGAATAAAAATCATGATACATATTCTTTTTGTTATTCATATTAGAATACACAGATGGATATACATTGATATATGTAATTAACACACGTGATTCAATTAGGCTTGATTTACCTGCGAAACAATCGGATAGAAAACATTCATCTGCCTCATATTCATTAGGATAATCTTGGACTTGATTTGGATTCTCTGTCTGTGCAAACTTCACTTCTGGGCAAACTGGTTCTCTGGTTGCTTCGGAAAATTTTGCTATCCCCTCTGTATCATTATACCCCTGACTAGGGATTCTATTCAACATGCATTGTTTGTGAGAGTATCCAACATATGACACAATAACATCAGAAATATGACTAGAATTCAACTCATAAGAAACATATTTTTCACATTCATGAGGAATATCATTAGAGATAAATTCATTATGAGGACCACTGACACTTGATATGATATCAGAATTCGATTCTTCTGAAATATTTTCCTCAAATTGATTAAGAGTTTCATTAGGTAATGGATCATCAGGGAATTCAACATCTACCATGACCGAATTTGGTTTTTGATCATGATTTGACTCATTTAACATTCTATTCTCAGAGTTGTAAGAAATTACATCAGAAGTATGTGAATTATTACGACAAACCATATCTGGCACAATAACATGAGAAATCTGATAAGTTGATTGGTTGAGAATTTTCGCCTCCCAATGACTCTGGGTTTCATTCAACTCTGGACTGTTATATAACGTTATACCTCTTCTAGATAAAGATAACTGATCATTAGAAGCATCCATCTTAGCATTACTTTCAGCGAAATGAACCATGGTATTACAAACTGACTGAATATGTCCAGTTATACCACATTTAAAGCATTTAGAATTACGAAATATACATGAATTACATGGGTGAAACTTGCCGCAGAACATGCATTTACTAAACTTGTGCTCATCATCATGGACTGTTTCACAACTCAATGAAGTATTATCTGAATAAATTTGATTACGCATCGAACTACGACGACTGTTTGAATAAGTGGAATTCCTGATGTTCTGACGAGTCATTTTATCGGATTTTCCTTTCTTACCGCATTCGGAATTTGTATACTTTACATGATCCAACAGAAGTTGCTTGAGAGTTGCATAGGGGAGTGAAATCGGTTTGTCTGGAAGTGCCAAAATCTTTATAAGGCTGTATGCTTCTTTCCCGATGAATGTAAGGAAATGGGCCACAATATTAAAATCCTCATCATCTTCCTTGATCATAGCCCAGATTTCGAACCTTTCCATGTACTCCTCAAAAGCATTAAAATCTGAATTTATATTTAACCGTTCCATCACAGGCTCAGTCGCGACGCCAATATGATAATTAGAAGTATTTGAATTGTAGTATGAACTAGTAATCCCAGGAATGACGCAATTTAATCAAGAAGTATCAGATGAACTCGAACGAATGTATTGTATTTGGAATTCAAAATTACAACAGTCATCAATACTAAGAAGTCATTGATTTATTTAAACATCACACCAATCTTCCTCCTTTACCCGGGCTTGGGACCGGCAGTAGCCCCCAGAGGAGCTACAGGCGGAGTATATTTTATAAATAGTAATCCAAAATGATTTCATTATGAAGACTTAAGCTAATTGGTCATAGATAATTCTATCCAAAGTATAATTTACTAATTGTTAAAAAAAGCCATCCCAATATAATAAGAAATTACCTATTGTTTTTGTAACTTCAGTAGATAACTTTCAGCTTGTAGTATCGGTTGTTACGTTAAGTCTATATGCCTTATTCTAACTTCTGGACAAGTCAATTCACCTATCCATCACGAGCCATGTTTTCACCTTGTTGGTTATTCACTTATTAACCCTGACCATTTTTATATGAGCGTAGGTGTGTGTACACTTTCTTATCCTATTTATCACTTGTCTGTGATTTATTCTTGTTTGACTATAAATGTTGGTTAACGCTTGATAAAAGTTAGTTGACTTCTCCGCCATCTCCAATGTGTGTCATTTTTGTTTCGCTCGCTGATATTTACTCATGTGCTTATAACTTTCTGACAATAAACTGTATCTGCCGCTTCTCTTTGCCTTCTGATTTTATGCACCGTTTAGATTGATATTATAGCGGTTATCAAGGTGAACGATTTGCGAAGCACGGCACTACAAGCTATTCGGCTTACACATGTAACCGGATATTGCCTGATAAGTATGTAGTAGGTATTAAAGATATCAGTATTACTGTTTCTAGATTATTTTAGTTCATCTAGTGTAACAACTAAATCTGACAAATAATGAATAATTGTTTTAATCAACCAAGAACAAGATAATAATTTCCAGTTCATGAAAGTTGTATTTATTTGCAGACAAATAAAAGTAACTATTCTTTCCATAATTCGACATTTCAAATCATAATTATTACGAATGATGAAAAAATTCTTTTCATACTAACTAACTGTTATTGATGTGTTCATAATTACCACTGAATAATAATTATTTCTCAATGAATACCGTCTCTTTTTTATACCCATCCTTGCTTTACGCGTGGAGACACTCATAAAAGATACAATAAAACATGGTGAACAAAAGCAGATCAGTATTAATATTGCATTACTTCATCCAACAGAAACAACAAATGACATATTATCTTTAGATGCAAATACACAATCCTGTTTAAAATATGCAGCAGCCATACCAGAATCGGAAGCTGAAATTCTGCTTGATCAATGTCCACAGAGAGATGAATCCAATTTATTGTTCAAGGTAAACAGTTAAAAGAAGTTCATTATCTAGTGTATCACAGTGCTTTCATATTGTTTGATTTACATGAAATAATGTGCATGACTAAACGGAACACTGATAATTTGTGTTCTAGGTTGCTGAACAGTAAGGAATTGTTTCGGATAGTCACTGGGATCAATGCGATAAGAACTGAAATCAATGATAACGTATGAATCGATGACAAATATAACTTCTTCCTCTTGAGTATCTTAGTTCTTATCAGTCAAATAGATGTCAAAAGATAATACTTGATCCATGACTACGAAGAATCATGACTTAACGATCATACAATACTTATCCACTTCTAACATAATCAAAATGACAGTGAGAAATGATTGTATGATTTGTGATTGAGCAACAGAGGAATAAATTTCGTTGAGATCACGAGTTAGACAACCATTTAAAACCAAAGAGAATGATGTCTGTTCTTCCTTAGTATGGAACTCTTCAGCAGTGTGCATTCACGACCTCTGGACCTAAGAGCTCCGGTCTCGCGTGAGAATGTTTAGTCTCTAGACCAATTAGCTACAAAGTAGTTACGTACTAGTCTGACTACAATTACTTGACGGTCCTGAACGACCGTCTTCCATATTTTTCGGTAAGTACCTTCCACATACTCGACACGGTTAAAATCCACTAGTCACGCCTTCCAAAAGGACTAAACAAGTCACACACGCATAATGAAGTAAACATGTTTTTACATCAACAATCATCGGCTCAACATAGTGATTTTAGATTCAAGTACATTTTATCATTTTCCTTATCATCCTGAAAATGTTTCATTAAATTACAATGAAATCATACCTCAAATTAGATAAAGGTTAAAACTCATATACATTTCTGCCACGTTCAAATCCTGGAAGAGTAAAACAATTTAAGCTTAGGGTACTATTAAAGAATATATCGGAATTTTCGTTGAGGCATAGGGTCTGTTTTTCAATTGAAATAACCATGTATAAACGTAATTAGAATAATTTTAAAAGTTTACTAATTTTTGATAAAACAAAATATATATTTTTAATATTTAAGGCTAGTGGATTTTGTTGTGATTTCTGCCCGATTAATTATCACATGATATGATGGCCAATCAGAATACGACTGATACAATCTTAACACTGTCACAACAATAACGTGTAGACCAATTTGAGAAGCCTAGCGTCCTTGTTAGCCTTTTTTCTGCCCAGCCCTGCCTGTTGACTCCAGAACGCCAATAACAGCTTCCATTGTACGAATAATTTATTTCGGAATACTTGGTTTATATACAAACAAATCAGACCACATCACACCATTAGTAAAAAATAAAAGTGGTACAAGATCAAGCTAAAAAGTGGCTTTGACTGTGAGAGACTGTAATTAATTAACTGGGTATAACTTAAGAACAGTAAATCTCACAATAATGGTCTATAGGTCAAAATGACGCCTATAATAAGAGGAATATAAATATACACAATCTAGTTACACAATAGTTATGTTATAAGAATATATGTATAATATTAGTCCATTAATAGGTCTTAGAAGTTACCAATAATTTAATCTTTGCTAGGATATAACACATTTAACTGTTGATCTACATGATATAGATATTTAATCTGAGCAACATTGAAATACTACTTTTTGTGACTTGGGTATTTTAATTTTTAACATGGTTTATATAGACTGAAAAATTATTTAGTTTCGAGAAGTCAAGCTTTTCTAGACTAACCCCCATTTTGTGACAATTCCCATTTTGACATTTGGTAAATAAAAAAGAAACGAATCGAGAGAAGAAATTCCTTTTCAATTAGTTTTTCAACATGTCTCTACACTAATCTATGTAGTAATTATGTAAGAATCAAGGGACGAATGTTGAGAATAAGTAAAATACAAAAGGTGGAAGAAATACAAAAATAGTTTATCAAAGTTCTGCTACAAACTTCCCTATACAGATGGTTAAGGTAGCGAGAATGGTTGTACAAACTTTTTTTGAATGCAAAGGTTTGGTTCGTGAACATGGATTCCAATGGCTTCAACAGTGTGCAACAGACGACCTCGTAAACCATGCGATGAATTTGATGGAATATGGTGGATAACTTTCAAAGCTTTATTCAATTCAACGTGATGACCTGTGTCCCCTATTTACTGGCATGTTATATATATATATTGTAGTTGAGTTTTTTATGGAAAAAAATGTACGTTATGGATTTTTTGTTATTATTTGAGGAAATTTTTACTATGAGAATTAAAAGTTTACAGTTACTTGGGTGTTTAGTGATGAATGCAATAAAAGAAATTTCTTAATAATCCTGAACTGCTGAGAAGTCCCACAATAGGACGAAACGGTCGTCCAGTGCTTCCAGGTTTTTCATGGTGGTCTAGCTTCAATCGATCCATGATTTCAACTATAAAATCCCGAACTATCTCTAAGTTTTTGTATCAGTTATCTTTTATTAAGAAAGTATTGTTGAGTATTATATTTATATTTAACAGTAAATTTGCTCCTGTGATATATTTGATTCAGTTACACAATTTAAAGCATAAAAATTAGATAGTTCTTTGATTTATTTTATACTTCAAATAAATGCCTTTCAATTTGTTTTGTCTATACACAATAGTGTTTAAGAACTGGTTTAACATTGGTTCATTCTGAAATGTCAAGACTGAAAAGATTTTGGCGTACCGAAAATGAATCCCGTAACATGTCAGTATGTACTGAAACGAACACGGAACAAAATTATCAGTCACCTTCATTTGCTCTTGCCATACCCATACCCAATGCTAAGAAATATTTTATTGGGGTAATGAAAGTAAACAAGTTGAAAAATAACAGCAAGCTACCAAAGTTTGAAGAACATGAAATTCAGTTTTATCGCGTAAGATTTGAAAGTTGCTTTTAGTATCTTGGCTTTATTTTAGACCGTAAACAAATAAGCCTGCTGAAGATGCTTTTCTTTGTATTTTACATGTAAATTGAGCTAGGTCGAGCTCAAACATGTAGATAGAGAAACATAAACTACCGATGCCAATACATGGTCGTTACAATATGTATTAAAAACGCTGAAGTTGGTAATTTGGATTTTTAATCTCTGATCTCAACCCATCACGTCTGACAAAACGATCAAAACATCTTGGGTTAGATTACGCATGATGTCGTAAGTTCAAATCACTAAGTAGCATTGAAGTCAAGAGAAGTTATTACATAGTTTCACCATATTTCAATAATTCTTCGGTCAATATCCGTCCGTAATGTAAACCAACCTCAAATCCTATAAAGCTTACAACGGCACTAAAATATTTCTGTCATCTAATGTTTATTATGGCAACGCCTAATAAATATAATTATTTAGACTGGTATGCTGTTTCTTGATCGTATTAATTTCATTCTTAGGATATTAAGACAAATATAGATTTTCAACTGATGACAGGCCCATATATCTGAGCATAATATTACTTGGAGAATAATGACTTCGATAGAGCTTCTGCTGATTACTTGAGTAATCGAAATGATTGGTCAAGTATTGATTTTGAAGCAAATATTTAAATATGACGTAACATTACTTTAGTACCAGTTAACAGTAAAACCCATGGTGAAGACAATGCTACATTTTGGAGATACTAGACTAATGTATCCAAACAAGAACACGTGCACAAGCAGAAGATATTCAACAAGATCAGTAAATTTTTTAATGCACGCCAAACAACTCCCAGTAAAAAATTAAAAATAGCTTCTTAAGATGCATACATTAAAACACAGTAACAAATTAGAGGACAGTTCAGAGTTTACATAAATGAGGATTGGTTTCTGATCACATTAGGACCATCAACTTTAAGAAAACTGAGGCCGCACAACAATTAGCAAAATATTCAACACCATACGTGAAGCTTTATACCCAATCATTCTATTTTGTAGAGCCTTGACATCTACATACTATATTTGTTTTACATCATTAAAAATCAAGATTCTATATATTAGTTCAGACAGTAAAATACAATAAGTATAAATATTCAAGCGTTATTGTAATTGGCGTAGAAAAAGAAATTGAGTGTTTCAATATTGTAAAAAGTTTAAACATTACAGCCTAAACCTTTACTAAATGTAAAGTTACTTTGCAGATGACTTAAATTCTTGTTTAATATATCAATAACTGATGTTTCCAAATAATTAAATAATATCTGACGTAAAGATTTTTTATCAAGTAACCAAGATAAATTGAAATTTTCAAAAGAATTTACAGTGTCATTTAGACTACTATTCATTTTGGAAGTAATATAAATAGGATCTTGAAAAGTATATAATTGTATATCAGATAATTGTGTTATTTTTAAATGATCAAACTTCATATTAACTGCACCATTCTGATTGATAAACAAACGTAAACTGACATTAAAACGTAAGCCAATCAATGTAACATGTATAAAATTATTTTCTGACATTAAATAATTCCATTTAGGAAATAACAACCAATTTGCAAACATTTCTACATTTTTATTTAATTCAATTGAAAATTTAATTTTATAAATATCACATAGCTTTACATCACGTTTCATCATCCATTCTTTAATTGAAACATCACTATTAGGTTGACTTTTATTTGATTGTAACCATATTTCTTCTTGTTCAATAGAAAATTGGTCATTATATTGATTGATTTGACTAAGTCCATCAAATCCCCATATTGTTATATTCTTTAATGTGATCATCCAATTATCAATATAATCTATTTGAAATGAATTATTTTTAGCCAAATATGTTTTAGTTTTGTAAAATATGATATTGATAAGTAATCTGACTAGTTTTAAACAACTTTGATCAGTTCTAGCGGCGAAAGAAGTTATGATATAATGGGAGTGATGTAATGCGTAGACGTTTAAGTTTTCTACATAAAGTAATTGAAGAAATTCTAGGAGTAGAAGACCTGTAGGAAGAAATAAGATGTAAGTAGTATTAAGAGAACTTTAAACAAGACAGTGACATTTAGTTACTTAAATTACTCGTGGCATCAACGAGTTAGTTATTTTCTGTCGATCAGTCTATTAAACACTACAGTGGTAAGATTATTCATATTCTACAGTCTTAAAATGGTAGAAAGCATAAAGCAACAAAAATAGTGAAATTACTTGAGCGTAAGTTTGTGTAAAAAAGTAAACTTGGATATGTGATCTACCTAATGATATAGAGATGTTAAATGTATGGTTTTAGCTAAGCGGAGTTAATAAATGTATATGATTGAAAGTACAAAACTAACTGAGATACATAACAATTGTGTTCCTGTTATTAACTTCAGATTACTATATCACCTATAGAAGTAGTAATTTGAAGGTGACATCAAGAAAGTACGCATATAAATGACAAAAATTAGTCTTAATTTAATTTAATTTCATGCTAAAATTGAAATACAAAGTTAATACAGTAAATCTTGCTGTAAACCTTCAGGAACCATATCATTTACAGATCCAATTTCCATAGTTAGTCAAGTCAATACAACCTTTACTCACCTACATAAGAAAAACCTATACATATCAATTCAATTTTTAAGAAACAAACATTTGACGAAAAACATTACTTACTTCTGAAGATGATCATCATCGCCATTCTATACAGGAAAGAAAAAGAATCAAGGAAGTATTTAATATAAGCAAATCGATTAGATGACTAGTTGATTTGTGACATGTTTCAACATAAATTTCAATATCTAATATCTCATGTAAATACACAATATTTAATGGATAAAAATAACGATTGTATATATCATAAATATTTGATGAATCAATTCATTCGATGGTTCATCATTGTATCGATTATGGATGGTCAGGGTAGGCAGTGTGCCATTCACCTAAATGTGTGTATGTTTGTGCATAACAAATGTTTATTTATTGATAAACGATATGAAGCCTTAGTAGCATGTGCATGTGAGCGGATGTTTTTACATTTCAGATTAGATCGGTTGAATTTAATTAATGCTACAATTTATGGGATATTTCGTTCATTCTAATAAAACATACCACTACATATTCAATTTTACCTCTAATGAATTTAATATTTGAATTGTTCACTCATAAAATTATACTATTGAGAAATGCTAACTGGAGTATTGTAGCATCCGGATGCTAATAACCTGTATGATATTAATTAGAAAATTATTTCATTCATTATTGATATCCCAGGACGAGTATATATTATAAAAGTGAAATACCTCAATTACATTGCTAGCAAAAATGCTAATCTGGTCATTTCTACCAACACTAAAGGGTATTTAGCTAGCCGGTCTCCCAGAGACCATTCGATTATTGAAGTCATTTATTTGTCTTATGACAATTAATTTTAAAATCATTATAAAAGAACAATCAAATGATCTTATATTGGATGTCTAGAAAGCACAGTAGATTTTATTAAGAATATATGATAAAAATTACCGAAAGACTATGAATTTGTTTATTGATTTCAATTATTAGCATCGAACAATAGAAAGAGAATGTACGTAGACTTTTAAAATAAAAATACATGGAAAAAACTGGCTAACTAAATAACACAAATAATAATTGCTTTGACTTTTTTCTAACAGCTTATAGAAGTCTTTCATTTATATATCAGATTCAAACGAAGACGTTACAGAGTGATTTAACACAGAAGATTAAATCATTAGGTACAGTAAAATGAAAGCAAACATTACAAGCAAAGATAGATAGTGGCTAGCAGTGGAATCCAAGACGCGCGTCTCGTCCTATTTGGGATTTATCAGCTGGATGTACCTGCATCTCAGAGTTGATTTTGAACCCAGTACCGTTCGCTTCAAACGTGATCGCGTTATTCACTTAGCTACTGAGTCCTTATAGGGCGAAACTCGCGTCCTGGATTCCACTACTAGCCACTATCCATCTTTACTTATAATGCTTGTGAATTAAGGCTATATCGAGGCAATACGCACAGCATGCACATATGACCAATAAGAGACTGACCAATGGCAGTCCTAAAAATCAATGGGAAAATTCAACTAAACAATACCAAGTAAATTGAAAGCAAACATTGTTAAAAAATCACAATAAAACTTCTGGTTTGAAAAGAAATATCTGTTAATCAAAAATCTATCATAATTATCTTTTTCATGAATATAACACTAAAGTTAATATTTACATTCTGTGTAAATTTAAGCAATTAAAGTTGATGTCATTTTAAACAGAGTAAGGTTTAGCTAACCATCAACCGTTAAATTTCACTTACAAATAATGGAAAAGTGAGTAGTAAGTAAATTGCTACTTGAATTGGACGTATATTCAAAACTTTGTTTCTTGGTCTACATTTACTTATTATAATAATTAAAATTACAGTTAGAAGGTGGATGTTTTAAACCCATATTTGACATAGTGGAAATTACTTACTTACTAACGCCTGTTACCCCTCGTGGAGGAGCATAGGCCCCCGACCAGCACAAATAATGAAAATGATTTCTTAAAAAATGTTTAGAAAAAGATTACATTTTCCCAAGTACATTTTAAAGTAATAGTTTTTACAGTTGGTTATTTAATAGTTTTCTATAAATCCTTTTTTTACTGCAGGGTGTAGTTTATCATCTGGGTTTTGCTTTCTCGCTCATAAACAGTCGATACTTACTTAGTTCCATGATACATTATGCATTCGACTGGATTTATAAACGGCTAGGGAATATTGATGAAATTACATTTTACCACCGATGTAATGATGATGATAACGATGATGGTGGGGATGTTAATCGTTCAACGACGATAGATTCGATAGAGGAGAAAACATATCGACCTAAGAAAGAAGTTAATTATAAATTGTGCAAACTTGTATCAAAATATGATATTCACCAAACAACAGTTCATACTGACCTACAGGTTATCGATAAAAAGAAGAACTACCTATAGTAAGTTACATTATCATATTGATTGTGCTGTTATAAAACAGATACAAATATAAATATTTTTATGAAACGTGTAATTTTAAGCATATTAGAGACATTTAATAACTTAAAACTTAATACTTATTTTCTACAACTTTAAATACCTATAGTGCTCCTAATGATAAAGACAAAATGATCTTTTTTGATTATTCTAGCTATATCATCCGATGTCTTAAAATGTCATACTATTCATCTTGATAACTGAAATCATTACGATTCACTGACTGATTTCTGTACTAATTATTACTCATTACACTGTTTCTTGACTTAATGAAACTAAATATTCTATTATTCATGATTCACTGGGGAGTAGAGCTACAGTCTTCATAAAAATATACGTCCGTTTGTCAGAATCGATACGTCATTTTATAAAATAACAATTTCAACCTACTAACAAGTAATACATTGATTGAAGTATATGTGACCTAATTTAGCTTGTTTTAATTAATGTTTTACATACAACCGTTCGCCAGTAGTATGTGATTCCTTTCAGTCTCTCGTTATTTCTTCTGATATAATTTTATTATCATACAGCACATTATTGAATGCTACACTAATTTAATGGATCCTAAATTTATTTAGCCAATACATCGATGACTATCAAATGAAGGTAAAATCTATTGATTGTTAGGACATCATATTTTAGTGTACCTTTCCAACAATCATATCTACCAAAATGTTAAACATAGAATATAAAAACTTAGCAGATATAGTTATAGGAGGACAATGAAAACATGATAATAATGTATATCGCATGAAGAAACTATTTCATCTTATGATTCACAACACTAACAAGCTACTTAGAATGAAACAAATATAGTGTATAATTGGTTATCTAATTGATAAACATACATACATATGAAAAAATCTGATTTTTCGCAAGAATGTTTTGTTTATCAATGATAGGCGAAAAACTCTCCATGCTTGTGTTTAAAATGATACAGGTTAGTTAGTTGTCATTACTCCTCACACAGCTTTCATAATAAAGTACAGTAAATTCACATTTCATGTGTTTTAAAAACCTTGGTTATATACTTATTGACATACATCTACGACGAAAGCGAAACAGATTCTTATTTGGCTCTGTATTACTATTAAGTTACAGAAAAACGGTATAAACTATTCATAACTACGGTTTTATATCAAGAGTTTTTATTTTTTTCTAAATGACTAGCAGAAAAATGTTTTGCTCGACAACTTCAAAAGATTCTTAGGTTCACACAATCAATAATAAAAGAATAGAGATAAAAAAGCATTACCTCCTAAAACGTGTATGATCAAGAGTAAAAGGTTTTAATAGATTAATGGGACAATCTAGTTTATTTTGTTATATGATATTTGAAGAATATGCGCATTATTTTTTCTCCGGTTATGATCATTCCAACTAAGTTAGTTATTACGTTGTGAGTAGCATAAGAACTGTCAAAAATATTCATCGGTTCAAGTTGTTATACTTCACATCAGGACAACTGACGGAAATATATGAAAAGCATGAAGAATTGTGTTATATCTAGAGCTTTAGATTCATGCTATGCCACGTACTACTAGACTAATTGAACGACCGAACCCGCAACGTCGCAAAAAGGGAAGATAGAAGACTAGTAAGTAGGAATTTTATTCCGCAAACAGTGTCAAATATAGTACAAAAATCTCATGTATTTATAGTTTTGGCTGAAATTAAATCATCATTTCGAATAGCCAATAGGCACATAGGGGGTCGTTCTTATTCACGTCGACATTCTAGAACGTTCCCCTAATGGTGATTGGGTGGAATGTCTTCGGCTCTTTCTGGGCTTTTTGAGGCTTCCTTGAGTTTTCCAATGAGTCATTCGTACAAATTATTAATCATGAGATTTATAGAAATACAAAAATAAATACATCTCAGACGTTCCAAATGATTTTGAACCTAATGATTATAATCTTTAAGGATAAATTATAATTAACTCATAGAATTTAACGAGGACTTCTGAACTATTCAATATAGCTCAGATTAACAGTAAATGATTTCTTTAATTGGTAAAGGAAATTAGTGTACAGAAAAATACAGTAAGTTGATACAAACGGCAAATCTATTGATGATAAACAAACTGATTACAAACTATATTATTTTATTGAGTGAAGAGTGAAAGAAAAAAACAAACATGATTTTTAGATAAATTTTGAATGAATCGTGAACAAAAAGAAACATAGAGTTAATGTAAATTTTATTTAAACTAAGATGAATAGTGGCTATCAGTGGGATCCAGGACGCGCGTCTTGCTCTGTTTGGGACTCGTCAGCTGGATGTAACTGCATCTCAGAGTTGATGTTCACTCTGGGACTCGAACCCATTATCATTCGCTTCAAACTCGTCCGCGTTATCCACTCAGTTACTGAATCCTGATAGCCACTTCCTTGTGCGATAGGGTGAAGTTTAAATTCATTTGGTGTTGTTTGCTTATATCTTCCCATTGTTGTTTAGGTCTGCAATTGATCAGTCTCTTATTGGCATATATGCATACTGTGCGTATTGCCCCGATATAGCCTTAATTCACAAGCATTATAAGCAAAGATGGATAGTGGCTAGTAGTGGAATCCAGGGCGCATAGTATGCACATATGTCACTAAGAGAATAACCAGTTGCAGTCCTAAACATCAATGGGAAGATTCAAACAAACAATACTAAGTGAATTTATTTAAACTGTGATAACTGCAATTATTGTCATTCTATAAAGCATACAGAAAATGTGTGTTATCCACTAACCAATATATATTGAATACTTAGAGTAAATATATTGAAGCTTAGTTTATGGATGGGTTAAAATATTAAATGGTTACTTATAAACTATAATAGTTATCTATGGTTAACCTCTAAAATTAAGTGATTACTTACATTCATCTTTAAATTTATTTATACTGATTACTCCAGAGGATTATAACTATCTAATACCATACAAGCCAGCGATTTTAAACAGCTTCAAAATTTAAAATAAACAGATTTAAAGTTTAAGTGCAGTAATACACGTTTTAATGGTCGCCTTTATTTATTCAGAAAGTATGGAAACTAAAACAGGATCAATTTCTATTTATTCACATTAATTTAATGTCTATTATCTGATTTATCCAGCTAAAATATTAAAGAAGAGATTTTAATGATATCATGGTCTTTGAACTGGACTATTTGATTGAATAAGTCACCCAGATCACAGAAATTAATTTTATTATAAACATTTTCTTCCATTTCAAATCTTCAGTACATCATAAAAACAGAGAATTATTATTTCATTCTATTAATTTAATACTTAATTGTGAATTATTGAATTTTATTGAGAATTTTACTAACGTTAACAGGTTGAATTAACATTGTAACGACAAATAGTTAAAAATTTTCATAATTTAATCTTGTGTTCTTATGTTCATATTGTTTTATACTTTTGTTTAGTTGTTTTATAAATACAACATAAATGAAATTTTATATAGTTGATATCATGAGTCAATTGAAGCTAGACCACCATGGAAAACCTGGAAGCACTGGACGGCCGTTTCATCCTATTATGGGACCCTTCAGCATTTCAGGATTATTAAGAAATTTATTCTATTGCATTGGATGCCGGCTCAGTGGTCTATTGGTCAAGTACTGATGGTTCCTGGGTTCGAATCTCATGAGGCTGGACCGGGGACGCGCACTGTTGAGGAGTCCCACAATAGGACGAAACGGCCATCCAGTGCTTCCAGGTCTTCCAAGGTAGTCTAGCTTCAATTGAGTCATGTTTTCAGCTATATGAAATTACTAAAATCTCCACAAAACCCCCTTCTGATAAATGAAATTTTATACAAAATGATAGTCATTCTTTAGATTGGTTATTATGACTTAAGTGGAAATAATCTCATTACATGATGCTCATTAAGAAAGAATACCAAGATTAGGAATTTCAAGGACTTATTTAAACCACAAAACTTTTATTTGAGAGTTATTTAGTTAAAATACTGTTCTATTCTAATCAAACATCGTTTAACACGACTGCACGGATTGTGATACGTCATCAAAATTCTCAAGTCACTTATCTAGAAGAAGTCATTATCTTTTGAAAGTCGTAAGTACTCGTTAACTCTATCTTGACAGTAGTAGTTTTCCGCGGTATGGTAAGTTTAATTAAATTTATGTTTCCATATTCGTCTACTGTAAAAGTTCTAAGAATGCTACATTTGTAATTCTCAGCAAGCGAGACTCATTGTAATTCAGAATATTAAAAGTAACATTTAATTCAGATGATGTTTGTCAATAATTAGTTTCATGAGGAGGATTACGTAACATACGTTTATAAATGAGGTCACCAAAGCTCTACATAGAAAAAAACAGAAATTAAGGTTAGTGTCCGCATCTATAAGTTCACATTAAGAGGACAACACCTTTTCAGTAGTGCCATCTGCTTGACATTGGCCATAGTGTTGATGTTTTAAATCTCTTCAGGATAATTAACAAACAAAAAAACATAGAATTTACTACAGTTTGCCGAAGCAATTGCCATGAAAGATTTAAACCGAATTTACGCATCCAAAATAATTCAGTTATCGATCTTGCTTTGTCGTTGTGACCTTATTCATAAGTGTTTGTTACGCAATCCTTCTCATACATTAAATCAGAAATATAGGTTGACACTTATCTTTAGCATGATGTTTTAATTTTTGTTCATAATTTATGCATAATATAAATAAAAGATAATAATATTGTTTATAAGTAATAAACTTAGATTGCTAAATAACTGCCAATTTGTTTACATTAAAAAAAAACTAGTCTATTAGTTTATCAAAGAGCGATCGATGTCAGAAATAACAGTTACTAAAGGTATATTAATTTTCTACTTGATATAATACAATTATCATAATTTCTTTGTTTGTAATATTTTCAATTATGATTGGATTATATTGAAATTATTGGTTTTTTTTAAATAAATTTACAATCAAAACAAACATATTATTTACTGTTGACATTTGCAATCATTCTGAGGTAGGTTCAGACTATGAGATACCTGCTTTCGTTTCGACAGTTGAGTAGTAATACTAATTTTCTTATTTAAGAAATGTAACTCATAATTAAGTACACAAATTTCTTACTTGGTATATGATTTGCATTTTCTTTTTTTTTTCAAAATACAAGAACTGTAATGTTAATAATGTTCGATATTATATAAATCTATACAAAACAAACTTTAATTTTATACCCAAAATTAGGTATCTGATACTTATTTACGTACCTTTTAATAAACATCATCGATCTACTGTTAGGGATAACACTAAACGTATAAATTTTTGAATTCATTGATAAACTTGACATTAGGTGTTCTATTTAAATATGAATGCCAAATTTATTTGTAAATTTACATGTTAAAAAAAAGTTGAATCTCATTTCATAATTTGATACAGTTCCCTTTCTTTCTCAACATTACTATGTTCATTCGATACAATATTAATGTGTATCACTTTTATCAAAAATCAACGAAAATATATTAAAAAAAACTGGTTTATTTGTTTTATATGACATAAAAAGTGTTGATAAAATAGGTATATGATATAGTAAGTTCATTATAAATGTCTTGAATATTCATATTCGCTTCAACTTAATATGACGTAAATATGTTAAGTCATGACTTGTAACTACAGTTAACTAATGTTTCAGTTCTTTCTTATTTTATCTGCTAACCACAGATTATTTAAATGGATCAAAATTAAATATGTATAATAGTTTATAAACATTCTACATGAATAACGGCAGGTTAACAAACAAAATAAGTTTTCATGCTTATTTCACCAATTAATCCTTGAAGTTAGATTGATATATCATTTAAATTGTATCTGGTATTGCTAATAAACATTGAGTATTCTTTCATATACATTCATATCTTTATTGCATTATGTTTAGATGATGTATATCTGTTCGAATAAAACTGTTGGATGTCCTGGTATGACCGAAAGTGAGAAGAGTCAGCCCTGTCTCTTAAAATGTTCTCACATGGCCACACGTATACAACCACTGTCAGGGAAGTTCTACCCACTGCCTTCTCTCAGCATTACTGTTGTTTATGAAATCGAAAAGGACGAAAAGAGAATGTCCGGTGGTTTGACCGGGTTGGTGGATACAGAGGACAAACCTAGAGGAGTTGGAAATCCCTGATTCCAAACCAATGGTGCACATGGGTTCCAGGATCCTGAGAAAAAACAAATGGTGTATGAACCTATTGTTGATCACCGTCTACCATTCAACTGCATCTTCTAACGTTATTCCACTGAGTTGTGGATAGACCTTTAGGTCCAAGGCTCCGGGAGTGGCCTCCTAAGAAAACCGCCTGCTTAGGTCTGGGTCTGGGCACCCGGACAGTATTCCAGCCCTCATATAAGTCGAATGATTCATGTAGCGGATATGTATTTGGTGCCTCGTTATACCAATGTTTACGCGTTCAAATAAATAAATAATTATTAACTGAGCTCACTTATAATAAATCTTTATTGTGAATTTAATATCAATTCAGTTTAACTATAAACAAAAATATCATTGAAGTTATCTGTAAATATGCAAAACTGTGTTTAAAAATAATATTTATTCAATGAAAGAGATATGAGCCAAATAATAAGTCGAATAAGTCGAAATCACCTTGAATAGTCTTGCAAAAACTGCTAATCAGTATGATTAGCTTCCATTTACTGAATATTTTTGTACATGCCAATTTGCATAATTTTGATGCAGCTATATTTAATTATTTAAGGAATATCTATCTAAAATTTTATGTATTTCCACACTTAATCATCATTAATGGTTTGTTCCTAATCTTCAGTTACTACCTGTTCGACGTACTGGAATCTGGATATTCACTGGTGAATTGCGTTCTTGGTCGAAAACATTATACATTTCCATTTACTGATTCCAATGATAAAGTGATCGGTATTATTGATGTTCGTTGTTTAAACTTCCTTGATAAACATCAATTGGATTATTTACATAAAAGTCTAGTACTTTTTCAAGAAGCTTATGAACAGTTAGTGCACTATATAGGAGTAGACACAGATGGTCAGTATGATAATGCAGACGAATATAAGACTATATCAAAAAACCAAGAAGAAACTGAAATTAATTCACAAATTGAAGAAAGTAAATCTGACTGGATGGATGGAAATAATAAATTTATGCCTAAAATTATTGTGAAAAAATTGGCAAAAATGGAGCTGGGTCTTTTAACTTCAAAGATTGATAAAGATGTAAGTTTATTAAATCATAAATTATTGATGAAAATGATGGCTTAGTTTATATGGGCTTTGTTTTAAACCGTAAGGATTATGTCTAATATCAGAACACTTTCAACTGGTAAAATGTTGTATTTAGTGAACAGTTGAACTATGAGATCTGTACTTCGAAAGTGATTGTCTAGTGGCTAAGCGCTCGTGCGCGAAAATGATAGCTCCTGGGTTCGAAACTCGCGAGGCGGGATCGTGGATTCGCAAAGCTGAGGAGTCCCATAATAGGACAAAACGGCCATCCAGTGCCTTCACATTTCCCATGGTGGTCTAGCTTCAATTGATTCATGATCTCAACTATCAAAATTGATTGTTGTTTATTATCACTTGTAATGCTTTTAGACGGAAGAAGGAACAAATAAATAGTCTTCAATCAAAGATGTGAAGAATTTTCTTGTGACTAAACCGTGAAAAGAATTACAGAAGAAAGTTAGATACCGATAAGCAGATACGTTTTTATAACTACTCAATTATGTTTCGGAACGACAAACTACCTAAACCCATTTAAACCAACCACAATACATATAATATGAATAAAATCAAGTCAAATCACAAGACTTGAGAATCTGAATAGAAAATACATTGATGTTATTCGTCGAATCTTGAGTAATGGTCTTTTAATTAGTTATTTGTAATATCATGCTTATTTTTGACTGTAAACTAATTCCCTCTTGAGTACGTTCCTTCATAATTTTATTGTGTCTCGTTGGTAAACGACGAAAACCTAGTGCAAAATCTAGCTGTAAACCAAGTATGTCTTATGTACAAATAAACTGAGAATAAAATGTTTTTGAGAAGAATATATCTGACTAGTTGAATGATGCATTTCCACGATTCCTTTCTTGCTGGCCATCTATCTTTATTAACTGCATTTCATATTGATTGTATGTGTATTATAACGTGTGCTACAATTTCTGGTACTCACAGTAAATTATCACATAAAACTATTTAAAACAATCAAAACAGTAACAGACATTTTTGCAAGTCAAAGCATCAATCTCATATTTCAGTTAGGTCTCTAATCATTTTATGTTTGTTAGTGCTATGTTGAACCATGACGACAGTAAACAGTTGAAATAAAATTATTACTCATGTTACAGTGGAGTATTATATACTTTTATTTGAGAAACCCATTCAGTTGTGGGAGGATTTTTGTTCTCTGAGTTGGATGGTCTGGTCGTGGAGCTTCCATCGTTATTCTGAACATCGTCAGCACAAACTCTAGGTAGAAGTGAAGTGTTCGAATTTCTCAACATATGGTTCACAGCTTGCCCTGTAGACCTCGGTCTTGATTGGTTATTGTTGACCATTAACCTGTCATTGTTCCCTTTTATATTTTGATAATATCTTTCGTTGATCTGAATCTTGGTCCTATGTTTGTCCACCATTTTTATGATTAGTTGATAAACTGGATCGATTTCAATGTGTTTGTTGATTGCTGACTAACCTGAGTGTCAAGCTTCTAAAATTTCTCTGGTGCTTTTATAATTGCCTCTATCCAAGATCTCAACATTTTTCCAGTCGAATGTGTGTCCACATGCATTAATATAAGCGAGGATATGTCATGGCGTCTGACCGCTAATTGATGTCCGTGCAGGTGGTGAAGAGGGCGTCCGCTTTGTCCAATGTAGTGTTTTCCTCAGTTAAATAATTTATTTTGTAGATGATGTTCGGTTTTTCTTCTTCTGTCATTTCGTCCTCTGGTTTGCATAATATTAATTCAAATGATTTTGTTGGTTTGTGTGCTACACCTATTCCAAAAGGCTTCAACAATCTCATTGTAATTTATTGAACAATCACTTTCTGGAACAGATTTCAATTTTGTATAATCAGTCAAAGATAAACCTTTATTTCGTCAGATTAATAATTGATCAGTTGTTACCTATTTATTTCTAATTAGACTAATCTAAATGAGATTCGTTTGAGTGTATAGTATGATGATAAATATGAAAAACGGCTATTTGTTTCCCATTTATATGATAACTAGGCAAACTATTCAATGAGTTACTACATTTTCCAAAAAGACGATGTTACTCACTATGTGGTAACAGAAAGTGTAGGTCTAATGAATTAACTTAAGAGATAACAAGAATATACTGGACTGTTAAAGTTGTTATTAATCAATCTTGTTTTTCAACTACAAATTTACATATTTAGCTTCAAACTATACTGATTTGTTTAAATTTAAAGAATAATACTCGTCTATTCAAAATAATTTCATACTACTTGAGATATTTATTTTTATATAGAGAACTGAACAATACGAAACCAGGAACCAAAATTCTATAATATAATGTGGCTTTATCAATCAAAATAATGAGCAAATAATCAAGCACAAAAAACTTTCGGACCGATAGGGTCACTTCGTAACTAAGTTTTCATCACTAACAAAAAAGTTTTCAAACTTAATCAAGTTTTAAACAAATTTACGTTTCATAACTTAAATCACTAAGTTGATTTAGTCTATTAATTTTTTTCGTTTGAAAGTGTACTCTTATCTTTTTACTTATCACTTAATCTGTACAAATAAAGATATTTTTATAGCAGTCAAAGTTTCATCATTATATACCAATCAATTTAAGGAAGGCAAAACGACTATGAGCTTAATTCAAGGGTGAAGATAAACTCCACTCTCGTTCTCAAATTAACCTTTCACCCAACGACTAAACAAAATAAAGTGGGGAATTATTATTTAATAGTTGGATTCATGAGTTGATGCAAGCTAGACGACCATTGAAAACTTGAAAACACTGGACGGCCGTTTTGTCATAGTATGGGACCCTTAGCAGTGGGCATTCACAATCCATCGTCTTTCGGCGTTTCTGAAAGGCGAGAACCAAGCTAATTGCTCGCAAGTTGACTGGAGGTAAGAAGCAGCTGGCTAATTAGGTTGTGCGCAAAAGCACCTCAGCTACCAGGGGCACGAAGAACCTTCGGTCTCGCGCGCTTAAAATCCAGACCACTGAACAAGCATCCAACGGTGTTGTTGTCTAACTTCAATCGATCCATGAATGGTTGCGCAACCATCCATCTATCGTCTGGGGTGGATAACTGTCTCTACTCGACAAGGATTAGACTCCAATGGTCACGGCTTCTCCAGGAAATTCATCTTGAAGTCAGTCACTAGTGAGCACACGATGATTATGATCAGAATGGGGTTTGTGATGATTGTGTAGTATCAGTTTATATGTTAAGCCCATATACTTTATTCTAGTTGCTGGCCAAGTAAATTCGCCTATCCGTTATGAGTCATATTTTGATCTTGTTAATTATTTGCTTATTAACCTTGACTATACTTTTATATGAGCATATATGTGCACGCTTCGTATCCTATCCATCATATGTCTGTTATTCACTTTTGCCTGATTATAAATATTGAGTAATGCTTGCTCATATCGAGTTTGCTTCGCTCGCTTACATTTGCTCATGTGCTTACAACTTTCTGGTCTGCATCATTTATCAATAAAAATGTAGTTGCCGCTTCCTTATGCCTTCTGATTTTATACACCGTTAAGATTGGTATAATAACGGTTATCGAAGCACGGCACTACAATTGCGGTAATTTTAATGGTTGAATTCATGAATCGAGGTGAAGCATTAGTGAGTGAGACGGAAGGTCCTGGGTTCCTTTCCCACGTGCGGAATCGTGAATGCACACTACCAAAAAGTCTCATGCTAGAACAAAACGGCCCTCCAGAGTTCCCAGGTTTTCAACGGTGGTCTAGCTTAGATCGACTCAGAAATTCAACTATTAAAAATACTACAATCTCCACAAACGCCATTCTGATCATATTTGTTATTTACACAATCGTAAATCATGATGGAGAGTGTGTTTTGTTCTCTTTCATTTTTGCTGGCTTACAAGTAAAATGTATTCTATGACGAAAATATTTTTCGACCATGCTACGGACGTGTCATGTATGGAGCAGCCAGTCATGATGGAAGAAAAATCACAACATAGCAAAAGACATACCTCCAATTAATTTTGTAATAGGAATTATTCCAAAATATTTAAAATTGAGTGACTAAATAAACGAAAACATAACTGAGACTAGTGACTACGATATACTCGGATGACTTTAAAAACGTGGAGTTTATCTTCAGAGTAATTCTGAATCAAAAGGTGTCTATCGAATTTTTAATACTTAAAGTGGAATTTATCTTTAGTGTTTTACTAAGTATGATTTCAATTTGTTGATTTATTTATAATTCAAATGAACTGACAATATTATCTCATTCATTTAAACTGTTTCTGTTAATTACGAAAAGCTCTTCAGAAATATAAAAAGGTATGAAATACGACTTTGTAATTCTGAAATTTACCTACTCTGGGCCGTCATCTTGTTATTGAATCGTTCTCAAGGAGATGAATCCTTAAATCAGGAAAATATTTCCAAACTTTTAGATTCAGTGATGACTGGTATCCATGAATCGATTGTAGATTATGATCCATTTGTTGGTGAACAACAGATAATTAATTCACAACAATCGCGGCTAAATGAAATATATGAAAGTAAGTTATCAAAAAATGAAGAGCTTGACCTTATGTGCTTTTACAGTTTTTTCATCTATACCTCTCTATACCAAGAACTCAAACATGAATCAGTTTGAATAACTCATTCTATCGCTGGAATAAAAAGGTTAAAGAGAATTTATGAACGATTCATTTTGTCTTGTTTGTTTGAATCTTCCAATGAATGTTCAGGACTACAAATGATCAGTCCTGAATTCCACTGTTAGCCACCATTCATTTTTTTTATAATGCTTGTGACTTAAGGCAATATCGAGGAGATCCGCATAGGATACACATATGCCAATAAGACTGATCAACTTCAGCCCTGAACAACATTGGAAAGATTCGAACAAGCAATACAAAATAAATTTACACTTCAACTCATCGCACAGGCTAGTTATTATCAGGACTAAGTAGCTAAGTGGATAGCGTGTGAAGAGAACGGTGTTGAGTCCGAGTTCCAGAATGAACATCAACTCTAGGATGCAGGTATATTTATCTGGCGAGTCTTGGGTAGGGCGAAGCGTGCATCCTAGACACTCCTCCCGGCTACCATCCATCTTTTCTTAGATTTTCTGAACGGTTAAAAATCTTGTACAACTAGATCCAATGATAAATTTAAACAAAGCAAGAACAAGGTTTGAAGAATAAAATGAATCCATTATATTTCACGATTTCTCATCAGCTACATGAAACCTAAAATTACAATCCTTAATACAAATATGATTATTAATAGATTTTTAGCATACTTTAGTCTACGAAGTTTAGTTAAATGTTCGAATCGTAACCAAAATCATAACAATAGTGAGAAGAGTAGGTATATAAAATTTATGAACGAATGACGTATGGGCGAGGAAAATAATGATTACTTTTTTACCTAGTCAGACTAGTAGGCAGTCTGACAGGTATTAGATGTGTTATATGTTTCCCTACTCTTATTCCTATTGTTATTGTTGTCGGTTGTTGACATGCAAATATACTCACATCCTAGTCAAGTCACTCACCTTTATCCAAGTTGTATTGGTGTACTGTAGAATAGATACTGAGAGGGTATCTCGTGTAAATATTCGTCTAAGGCAAATCAGGGTAAGGGAGAAAACTGAATGTTATTTCATTAGACATAGCTAGGGTAGATGTGTATTTATATGCTGGAAAGTAGTCATTCAAAGGTTATGTAAACGTAGTGGAGCTAATAAGTGATTGGATAGTCGCTTAACATAATAAAATAACCAAATATGTGAACAATAATAAGATTATTTAAGAGATGAATATGAGAAGCCGAAATAAAAAGTGAAAGGTTGGGGACAGGATTGAAAAAAGGATTCAAAGTTAAAATAATAAGACCTATTAGACGAAACCCGAATTACCATGACTGGGAAAGGCTAATAGCATTTACCTCATGTTTACTATCGAAAAGGAGTCCATTATTTGCACTCGTAAAGACTTTACTAGCTTTCAGCCGTACGTTCCTAGAAATTTGTTCATACAAACTTGTAGAGGTCCTTCCTTCCGTCCTTGTTAACGCAGGTACATGTAAATTCATAAACGTTATTGGAAATGACATCGTAGGGTGCTGATCTACCCTTGAATGATATAATGAACACTTGATGTTGTATGGTAAAAACATTTGAGCAACAGAGAAGCTAATTTTTACTGCCGCCTTGACTCTTCTACCGATTCTTTCTGAAATGTCATCACCATTGAACGGAAGGTGCATGAAAACAAGTTCTTTCCTTTCAGCTTGTTGTTTATCATTCTTGGGTTATTCTTTTCCGTATTTCTTAATGAGCTTCCTCGGGTATCCATTTTTTATGAGATGCTTTTCCAGAATAGCCGATTCTTCATTTATTTGCCTGTTTGAACATAACATCCGAGCTCTATTGAAGAGCGTTTTGATGAGACACCTTTTGTAACTAATAGGACCAAAGCTATTAAAGTTTAACACTCTCCTGCCCACGTTTTTTTCCAACATATAGTTTTCTCAAAACTTTCATCATTTTTTCGAACTATATTAAGATCTAAAAAATTGATCTCTTTCATATTCCATTGTAAACGTTATGTTGAGATAAGAGTTATTTACATAACCTCCCAATTATTACTTTGCAGTATATAAATACACATTGATCTTAACTATGTTTATTCATACACTTATTATCCTAATTCTTCTCACTATTATTATGATTTTAGTTATGTTCCGAACATTTATCTAAACTTCACTAAATAAAGTATGCTAAACATCTATTAATAATCATATTTATGTTGAATTCACAAGTCGATCTAAGCTAGACCACCATTTAAAAACTAGAAACACTAGACGGCAGTTTCGTCTTAGTATGGGACTCTGTGACCAGTGGAGTCCAATCCGTGTCGAGTGTGAGACAGCTATTCATCTCAGACAATGAATAAAGGGTTGGGTATGATCATGGATCGGTTGAAGTTAGACATCAACACCGTTAGATACCAGCTCAGTGGTCTAGATGTTAAGCGTTCGCGCGCAAGGCCGAAGGTCCTGGATTCAAGTTTAGCGTATGCGATTGTAAACGTGCACTACTGAGGAGTCCCATGCTGTGACGAAACTGCTGTCCAGTGTTTCCAGGTTTTCATTAGTGGTCTACCTTAGATCGACTGATGTATTCAAATTGAAAATACGACAATCTCCACAAATCCTCATTCTGATAAGTATATTCATGTTAAGAATTGTAATTTTAAGTCGCATGCAGCTTATGAGAAACCCTGAAATATGATGGATTCACTTTATTCTGCAAACCTTGTGTGATCTTGCTCTGTTAAAAAACCTGTAAAACATACTTAATCACATTATATAATTTACAGCAATACCGAACGAAATACAAAAATAATCATACAAAATAAGTCATGATGTGTAGTAACACTTAATTTAACACTACTCGTATAGTTCTGATTCATTGTTGTTACTACTCTAATCCATAAACATTTGGTTTTTATTTTAGTAGGAGGACATTATGCTGTGAAATATCTTAATTCCAATAGAAAACTACATTTATTAGTCTTTTTTTAAATCACCACCATTAAAATATCATTATATAAAACAATCATAAATTTCCATTCACTTAGTATTGTTTTTTAATCTTCCCATTGATGTTTTAGGACTGCATCCAGTCAGTCTCTAATTGGCATGTGTGCATACTGAGCATATTGCCTCGATATAGCCTAAATTGACAAGCATGATAAGCAAAGATGGATAGTGGCTAGCAGTAGAATCCAAGAAGCGCCTCTCGTTCTATTTGGGACTCGCCAGCTGGATGTACCTGCATCTCAGAGTTGATGTTCACTCCGGCACTCGAACCCATTACCTTTCACTTCAAACGCCATCGCGTTATCCACTCGGCCACTGAGTCCTGATAGCCACTTGCTTGTGCAATGGGTGAAGTTGAAGTTCACTTAGTATTGTTTTTGGTGTTTTAGGACTGCAACTTGTCAGTCTCTAATTGGCACACCAACTCTGAGATGCAGGTACATCCAGCTGACGAGTCCCAAATAGGACGAAACGCGCGTTCTAGATTCCATTGCTAGCCACTATCCATCTTTGCTAATCATAAATTTCCATTGAAGTAAAAAAACATGTATGCAGTATTTCGCAACTTTCCAAGAAAGCTATCTCCGAAAGATTATAAATATTAACTTCACATTGACAGTGTATACAAATATTTCACAATTACATCAATTTTCTTAGGAATACCTAAGTAATTTGCTTTTAATTTAATAAGCTACAGAAACAGTTGATTATTTTCGTATAGAATAAAAACAAAGATTTTACAAATTTTGTTTTATTCTAAACTATAAACGTTTCATTTAGAAATTTCAAGTGAACAATTAAAACAGTACTCATGTGAATCAATGATTAATTTGTACGAATGGATGACATTGTGTATGATTATCTGGAAAGAAAATTTTCTTATGCATCATGGATAGAAAGATCTTGGGATTAAAGCGACAATGAAATTTCATCGTTCAATAAGAGAACAATAAAGATCTAACAATCTAATCAGTATATAACAATAAAATGAATTATCAGTTGGGATGTAAAATATATAATTTTCATGACATAAATGTGTTGACTTTTTAATTTGCTAAATATATTGTTGTGACTTTAAGCCCCGCTAGTCATCAAGTGATTTATTCACTAATTGAAATACAACTTATTCAATCTTAGTATTGTGCGAAACCAATCATGTTTGACAGGTATGAGTATCTTTGTGTCCTTATTGGTCCTTTGTTCGCATAAACTGCCCATTTGATTCCAGAACGCCAATAACAGCTTCTGCTATGCGAATCATTTTTTTAAAACGAACATGGTTAATATAACAGCCAAATAGACCGCATCACACCATAAAATAGGACATTATATATATGAAATATTCTAATTGTATAGGACAGTAGGGTTAATTATACAAACAGAATCTAGATCGTTGATTTTATGGATACTTATTGTATGCATCATGGGATAATTCACGCTACAAACAGTACTAAAACTGTTTTGCTTAGAATAATCAATTTAGATGAATTACCGTCGCGTCTCGCGAAACATTTTGACAGGAGTACCCAAACCTTCCCACAAGGGTATGAGATATGATATGGTAGTGACAAAAAACGAATATGAAAGGGGAATAACCTACGTATCATGCCGAGACTTTAAAAGTTAAAAACCCAAGTAACAAAGCTAATCAAGAGTAGAAAAATTAGATTTTTTTATTCTCTGAAGAAATGGCTTACACTGAGTCACGAAACGTCAGAAAATCTAATTTTTCTACTCATTGGGATATTACAAATATATTATTTAAAGCTAATCAAGGTTTACCTGCATATTTTTGTGCTTACGTAATAGATTGAAATACAATATAAAGAGAGCTAGAACAAAGATTCTAGCAGAACATCTAGAATCCATTTTATTTCGTTTGGTTCACGTCAGTTGCTTACAAACTGTGATATTTAAAAACGTAATTACAAAATGGGTTCAAATTAATTAGATGAAAGAGTTTGATTGTACTTTATTTTGAAGACACATCAGTATAGCATAGCAAGGGTGTAAATAAATTTAATAGACTGAATATCATAAATATATGCCTTATGTAAAGGAACATTCTACAACATTGATTGTAACGGAAGTTAAAAAAGCCAGAAATGATTACATGATGAGTAAACGCTAATAGGGATAAAATAAGTAAAGCTCAGTTAATAAAATAAGATTATTAATCTGGAAGACAGTCGAAATAAAAAGCACAATTATGTAAAATAAATTGCAATTAAGCTCTTTCATGTAAGTAATTTGAACTCATTTTGTAATTACGTTTATAAATATCACAGTTTGTAAGTAGTTGACAAGAATCAAACGAAATAAAATCAACTCATGATGTTCTTCTAGAATCTTTGTTCTTGGTCTCTTCCAGATGACAAAGGGAACTGTGTGTATGAAATAAAATTTTATACATTAACGGAAAACCAAAAGAGTTCAAATTCTACTAAAGCTATCATAGAGAGGAGTAAGCGGATAGACTTTAGATGATATACACCTCGTTCAATGTCGCATATCTAGAATACCATTGAAGCAACTAGAGCGAGTTGACGATGTTAAACGCAAACTCATGTACCACGTTTTTTGATGACAATCTACTCACTAACTGGTATAATAAAAACAAGTGTTACGTCAGATAACCAAACAGTAAAATTGAGCTGTGAGCTCAATTGCTGTTTCGCATAGTTAGACAAGGAAATATATGGTATATTTTGTTGCTTCTAAAATTAACTGTTGGAAGACCAAATATTTGGTAATTAGTACACTATTGCATTAATTTGTCAAATCCCCTACGAAGAAATTACTCGGCGCGCCTAAAAGTCTGGCATGAGGTATGCTATGAAGGGGAAAACAGTTACAATACAAATTTGCCAAAATCTGTTAGCTGAATTCAATATCAACTAAAAAGTTAATTGCATGACCTAAAGGATGAATAGATTTGTTCCAAACAGATCACGCTTCAGAAATCACAGGACTAAAAAACTTCAGAATCTTTAAATCATAACTTCCTACTTTATGTTATTGAGACGAAATAATCTAACGGCAGAGAAGCCAAGTCTTATCTACAAACAACTCAAGTAAATGACAGTAGTATAGCGGATGTGACTGCTGTAGTTTGAGAATATGAATTTGACCTCAAGCTATATGACATTTATTCCACTATATTGATGTACACAGATACGAACTTGAATGAAATTTTAGAACCTAGACATAAACAATGTTAGAAACGTTTTGCATGCTTGACAATAAGCGCAACTATTAATCAGAAGATACAGTGAGAAAAATCTATCATTGTATGATGAAATTTTAGGGTACGGGCATAGACTGAAGTACACAAGTCAGCTATTTACCAAATATTTGGAATCATCAGATGACATACAGGATATTTTACCATAGATTAATTACGTTTAAAGTATTAGTTGACAATTTTGACTAGAAATAATGAATGATAAATTATCTGCTCAATGTGTATATGGTATTCGTCCAAAAGGGCGCACTCTAATAAAGGACGCCAATCAAAAACGTGCGTACTAATGAGCGCGACTATTAGAAGGGTGCATATTACGCTCCATCCCTTCGCTTTACGAACAATCAGAAGTGTACTTTTCTAGACGTATGATGAAGAGTCTACTCTCAACAAATGTAATTTTTCAAACTTGGTAACAAACTGTTATTTCTATTATCCTAGTCACGGTATCTCGTATATCTGTTTCATCGGCTAGGATATTAAAAGGCATGCTTGTGTGTGTTGGATTCCCAACAGATCAAGAATGTTAGACAATTCCAGGTAAACGAAAATGCCCCGATGTATTAAAAAATTTGTATCCATTTGTTTTGGAATAAAATATTTGATTAAAGTTCGAAATTTAGTTGCATATAAAGCCGACTAAGTACTATATATTTTGGGTTAACTATGAAGAAAGTATCTAGTGATTCTTCACAAATCAACTGAAGTTAAGCCAGCTTTCAAGTATCAGTCCCGATATTTCGCTGGTCACAAACCCATTAGAGTTTCTAAGGATTCCAAGGTTGATAACGTAAACATCTAAATCACCCCCAAAGATTAAACTGGTTAATATTACAGACCAAAAACAAATAAAAGGTAAAGAAACGAATCGGGAGACGTTTATATCGTCACTTAAACGCTAAAAACTTAGTCTTTTAACGTCTTCTCCAAACAAGACTGCGCCATAGGTGTACTTTGTATACATGGTTTATAACCGTATTCTCGAGTTTTGATATCTTGTTAGACGTCAGATCATATAGTAGGGTGATTATTTTTTCGACATCGATTTTCTCCGCGTTTTACCATCACCGAAGTGCAAAGAGACCTAGGAGCATAAACTTCATTAACATCCAAAAAGAATGAACACTAGCTAAAAGTTACCAACTTGCATAGGATTCAACAATCTAAAATAACCAACCTGAAAATCCTTTATATACATTATTTCAAGTTATATTTAAGTGATAATAAGTTTGAATAACACGGCTGTTAAAAGGTGAACAGAATCTATCAACTGATTAATAGGAAATGCGTTAGTCATATACCGTTTGGAAAACAAGTTTCTACTGATACATTACAGAATATAAGATAGAAGAAACTACCTCGTTTAAAAGGAGCAGTGAATAAGCATTTCGCAAGAATACATATATTTTTTTATTGATTAAGCGACTAAATTATATATATATATATATATATATTCAACAAGTAGAACAATTTCAGCCAAGCAGTAGCGTACGGTTTAAAAATGATAATGATAAAAGTATTTATTGTGATAATCAATGCGATTATCGTAATTGGTTTTGTACAGAGGAGTAAATATCTTAAATGAGTAAAAATTAAAAGAACAATTGGTGTGGCGCATCATTTTCCCATCTTTTCTGTACACAGTAAACAAGATAGAAGTAAATGAGATATGATTGTATGCACACGCATCATGTATATTAATATTGTAATTAATCGTTGACTTATTTGAATTGAGAGTACGACGATGGAATTTGGCAAACCGAAATTCGTTGTTTTCGAACTTCATCCTTATATACTAAATAAACTGTTGATCATCGTGTTAAACCGATTGCCGAAGCTAATGAGATCAGGATCAATACGGCGATAACAACAACCAATATAATACAGATTATTTTGCACTAAACCAGTGATTAGTTGATTGATACACAGTAATCCACATAAATTGCAGTGTGACAAAGAGAAAAATAACAACAACAATAGCATCAACAAAGTCACGGTAAAGATGGACAACAATAAGAAATACACAACATATACGATACAGTAGCTACCTTGCATTACAAGCATTTGTGTTTTATAGAGGTTATTCTTATAATCTATGGTTCATTCCGTTGTTTTCCAAAAACCCGATACCATAAACAAGCAAGAGACCCTTTCACGGAGTTTAAATCCAAGGTATATGATAAGTGAGGCTTACTTTAATTTCTTCAAAACATGTGTACTACATACAACAAATAAGATAAATCATTTTAAATCGTAAATAAACAACTGTGCCAAGAAACGTGTATGTATAGCATCCCGGATCAATTACACTACTGTTGATAATGTTAACGAGATCAATCACTCACATATACATTGGTTCAAGCGATTTGTGTGTCCCCTATATATATCATGGTGCCCCTTTAAACCAATATTTATGTGCTTAAATAAATAAATAATAAATGTCATTTAGTGTTTCCAAACACTAGCTGAGATAATCGCGTGAACCCCAGCTAGGTAATCTGCATCTACCTAAATGAATCAGCCTAACAGTCAGCATCTTAATAAACTGATGCTATATTTTGGTTTGGCTGCCCTTAATTTTCTTCCAACCTAATACCACATCAGCCCCCGTTTCGCATCGAGATAAACAGCTACTGAGCATACATAATACATATCCCAACTATTTCAGTCAATTAGGATCCACTACTATGTTCATTTATTTGCCATCCTTACCTGGTCAATTATGGCTAACTTCAACATTTCTCACACGCAAGTAAGAACATCTATGACATAAAACTAGAAACGTACAAACATTTTCCAATGAGGAATGCCATTGTGGTCTCTTCTCTAGAATCTGCCGAAGGGCAAATATTTGGTTGATGCATCCGCTTCCAGGTCTGAAACCAGCATGGTGTTCTCGGGTCTGCTCTTCACGAGTCCTGATTAAGCGTCCGATTATTACTGAATCTAATATTTTAGGTCGTCAAGCTGATTCTTTTGTGACTGTTACATAAGGGCTTTTGTCCTTTCGTATAAACTGGGACTATCAGACATCTAAACCAGTCATATGGGATTATGTCGTCCTCGAATTCTAAGATCTCAGTCAATCTAACTTCCACACTTGAACCACTACTTTGAAGATTTATAGGGCTGGTTTATCTGAACAAGCTACTTACCCTGGGGACAAGCCGCATATTACTTTCTTCTGACTGCTGAGCCACCCACTAAAACACACCAAAGGTGATCAAATCAAGGGTATTCATATATCGCGATTAGTAAAACGCCCTCAGATAAATGAGTTATAATTTAGTTATTCATACTCCTAAATTCATTTGTTGTTCAGCTTTCGAAACATCGTGAAATAATATAAATAAAACAGCAATCAGTTTCCTAACAAAATGATGTTTCACTTCTCAAAACGTATTGTAACCAAAACGTAGTAATTAGGTAAGATTATCTATGCATAAGGCCATGATTTAAACAATTCATATACACGAGGGTTCAATAGCTGAAGTTGAGATGGGAAATAGTGCAGAATCTGAAAAAAACAGTTGACTGAAAACATAGTTTAAGGAAGCTAACAACAATTTCACTACGAAAAAAGCAAATGAAAATGTCCACTTACGCGACGATTTTTCCTTTTTCTAATTACGGCTGACGAAAGGGTACGCTTTGAATTTACAACACAGTCGGATGCCTTATTCAAATTGTATTCAACTTGATCGATTAAATCACCCTAATATAGAGAGCGAAAAGTAGTAAGGAAACAACAGAGATAATTGCTTAAAAGATAGTTCAGGTTAAACGTTAAAACGGTTATATTTTGTAGTAAAACTTGAAAATTCATCGTATCAAGATATATAGGAGCAAAACTTCGATAGTGACATATCAACAAACAAGACTATTCGGAAAATAGACATTGCAAGGCAGAGAGTGGAAGTTTATTCATTTGATACAAAATGGAGAGATCGGGAGATTAAGCAACTGTATAGGGTTTTGAACTTACAGGGACTGGGATGGTTAAGTTTTGTTATGAATCCTAAGTGAATGCATAAGAGGATTTGTGGTTCTAATGACGATTGGGAAGCGATAATGATAACTAAGTCAAAAAGAGGCATCCATCCATGAAATGAAAGATTGTTAAGCCAAACTATTTATAGGTGTTAAGTTTTTTTCAAAACTTAGTAAAACACACAGGAATTTGAGTTGACACTACATAAAGCTAATCACACGTGTAGATCCATCTAAAATAGTTAACATCTCATTATTCAATATTTAGCATTATTTTACTTCACCATTTTTAAAATATTCTAGTTCTATACCATTACTTTTACTACTTCGACTAAACATTTCCAGAGTATCGTAATCCAAACTTACTGATTCAAATTGTTATACCAGTAAATTGTCAGAGAAACGACAAAAAGTAGTCTATATTTATTAGTTATATTGCAAACGACATCTATTCAGTGGACAACTGCATGTTTTTAAGTAAATTATCTTATTCCTAGAGATACAACGATGGATCCCAGAAAGTAAACAAAGTACTATAATACTGAATTCGTAGTTCAAACGTGTGAGCGAAAATTATGATAAGTGGAGCCAGTCATTATTATATAGAATTTGTGGTAAAACATGCATAGATTTAAAAGAGAAAATTACCTGTTGGTCAACTAGAAGAGCGACATTGAAGAATAGCTCTTTCATCTCCTGGATACTTTTCTCGAGCCGTATAATATCTGCATGACGAGCTTCGATATCCGATAATGATCGCTTTGCAGCTTCTGTTTCAGCCATTATCTAATTTGAAAAAACTATCTATGAGGCATCGTATGAAGAAAAATTATGATCAGAATGCTCAGAAATTTACTTTACGATGTTGAAAACAAATACAAGGAGGCAAGATAATGCAGGTTGATGGAACAATTGTAATTTACACAAATTGAGGGTTAAGAAAGCAATTAATCTGTTAAAATATTCATGAGCAGAGCTGAGTCAAGACTTGAAACTCAATAGGACAAAAAACACAGTTCAAATTAAAATGTACTTATGCTCCAACTAAGATTGAACAACTACTGTGATACTACTATTGTTGAACGAAGTAATTTCTCTTGCTATTTATAAATTTGAATAAAGTAGAAACAAACAAACACGTTAGTTTTCTGACCTCAATCATTATGAAATGTGCGCTGAGATGCGAACAAGAACCTTACTTTCTGTTCTTTCAGTATAAATGTTTCGGCATCCGATAAATACAGTGAGAGGTAACGTGCAATGGGAATTGTCTGCCCCAGTAAGCGATTCGTCTGATACAAAGAGGCAAATTCAAAAACTAGATATGTTCCCTTCAAAGCGACGTTTAGTCTTCGAATAACCAGATCAACCATCTCATCATTTTTGAAGCTAATTCTTAGAAAAACTGATTTTTTTGACTGAGGCACATTTTATTTATGTGGTACTTGTTTTCGCATACTTACTGACGAACTTTTGTAGATAACCATTATTTTGCAAACACTTTTAAACTATAGTTCATTTGTCTCCAACTTTTAACTCTGAACATAGTTCCAGCATGTGGTTGAATAGTTTACCAACCAAAGCTCTTTTGTAGCCTAGTGCATAAGAACCTAAAAATCCAAACAAAACCCATTGTGTTCTTTCGATGGACGGATATTTCTGATTGACCTTTTGCATTGCACTGAATACCAATATTAAGTTTCTATTCCATTGTAGGCTGTATATCAGGGTGAGGTTTCTTGGGGAAACTCAGTGTATGAAAAAACGTATTTATAACTACTACAAGTAACAAATGTATCGTCTATTTTATTTGTTTCCATACCGTTGTCAATTATAACTAAATTAGAGACTTTATTAACTTGAAGAGTGACAAAACTACTATTTCGCATTGAGGTAAAATTTAAGGCCGTTGTTCATTAAAATATAATGCCTATTCTTCTTCAGATATATGAAACACTGATTTACTTTTATTCCAAGACAGTATGAGATACTAAAACTTCATAATACGAGCAATTTTATCGTGGTAAGTCAGCAAACCAACCAATTAGTAATTCACACTAGCGGTATTGAGCCAAAATGGAATTACAGGTGGTCGGTTGAAGGTAAAACATTATCAAGACTGATGAAAAATTCTGATAATTTGTGCATCGTCCACAAGTCGCACATTGTTGCATTTAGAAATTTACTGTAAAACCTATGCTTAGAGTTTCGGTATTTAAAATGATGACAAAGAAAATTTGACCTATAAAAATCAAGTAACTTACAGCCTGTGTGAAAATACCCGTATGGTTTTTTTCTAACATCTTCTCAACTTCATCTTCTGAAAATGGAACTTCAGCTGGAAAACAATTAAACTTGTTTTAAAAACGTGAGAAAAATTTACCGATACGGAGTTTGGTTCGAATTCGAGCCTTACACTTGTCACGATAATCTACTTGTAATTGACTATAATTGTTCATAATGTGAACGAATTGTCGAGAAATAGCAGCATGCTAAAGTGAAAGCATAAGATATCCCAAAATCAAAACCTGAGACGACTTTAGACGAGATTTACCAGATAATCCTGACAGAAGTTTGTCATCTTCCTGTTGCCCTAGTTCTACAATTGTAGACGATCCCATTAAAAAAAAGAATTTACCTTTCAAAGAACTCCGAATTTTATGAGCACTTTCTCGGATGGAATTGGTGAGCTCTGTAAGCTGACTATCCAGTTCTTAAACCGTAAAAGAATAAATAACATTACTTGGATCTTGTTGAGGTGTGGCCAGTATATCTTTTTGTAGCCTGTCAATTGCATTAATATCTCGCCGTAAATTATCAATATCAGAGTGAAGTTCATTGACCTACTGATAATTAGACGAACAAGCATATTCACCTGATCGAAAACAGCAATATTTAGTTGAGAAAAGTCAAACTCTGCATTTTTCCTGGTATTTTTATCAGTTCTGATTTTTATACGCTATAATCGTAAGAAACAATAAAACAACAGAACAGAACTACAGCTTCAAGCTCAGGCAGTCGGTCTTTAACCATCCAAAAGTTGAATACGGGAAAACCGTAACAAGTAGTTTATCAAATAACTACCGACAATGGACCGATACGTGATGAAAAGGTGCCTGTTACTCTCAGAACGTTTATTATCTGCATGGGGAAAACAAATAAAAAATTGACAAACTGGGTTCACATACAAAGCAGTCTACAAACAAGTTTAAGAAAACATACTTTTATGTTAGAAAGTCAGATGTTACTGAAGCATTGTCTGGATTAGTCTGAAGGCCGTCAAACATATATTTGATGATTTAGGTCTCCTATGTGATGAGCTATTGCAGCGCATGAATAAGTGTAACTTCCAAGAGCTGGAAGTTTAAGTGCATTTTCGAAGATTCTGTGAACACAATGTCTCATAATTTACGAACCGATTTTCAAAAAGCATATACGTGGATTGACAAAAATATATGCAAACACTGGTTCCAAAAGATTTTGACTCAAAAACTAGAAATCTCACTTTTCATCGTTTCGTCAGTAAAATAACTCGGGTCGATAGCAATCCTACAGTTTTAGATTAATAGTAGCATAGCTCGACTAAGAATAACTTACCAAGGCAGAAACCTTGTCATAGTACATGAACAAATATTATCTCCAGAATAAAAACATACTTTCGTGAACTAGTAGTAGCTAATTTAAAATCAGTGTTCAGTCAGGCAGAACGTAGGGCCAGGTACATGCATGCATCGGCCCAAGTTACCACACCTTATTAGCACCAAATTCATAGTAGTTGCTTTAGTGGCAGTGAGAAGTCTCATATAAAGATATGATACAGGAAGAAGAGTTAAATCGTAGAAAGGTATAAAGTAATTTCAATCTCATGGTTTAAGAGAAGACAAAGAGTGCGTACACCTATGCCATTCTGATCGATTGTAGGCCATGCCACAGAGTCTCCAACCACTCGTTGCGTTAGTCGCGCGGACTCCAACCAAATAGTCTGCATCTACTAGCAAGGCTTAGACTAGAAGTTAGTGAGTTTATGGACTGATCTTAAGTTTTTGGTTGGCCGCCCCTAACTTTCTTCCATCCGTCTTTAACACTGGTCAGCATTGCGCGCAGCAGTCGTCGGTGCTTGAGCATAAGTGTTACGTGTTACGCAACTGATATTGATCCTAATAATTTCATCTTGCTATAATAATGTGGTGTGGCTGGTTGAACCACACCAGTTTCTGATTCTGGTTTTACTGATTGGTACTTGATGCACAGTGATAACTTCGAAAACTCAGGTACAGACGAGTGAGAAGTAGTTTGTTATCCCTAACAAAATGTCTTTATATGACTACATATAAACAGTCATTGCCAGGGGGACCCTAATGCTGTATAAGGTGAACCGAAAATAGTGGACATGAGCACCTAGACCCCGAAGAAACTCATGGCTCGTGAGCTCATTCATCGAATACTACTGCACCATATATCCCGAGGCATTATTATACATTTTAGATGCAGTTGTGAATAAATTAAAACGTCACCAAGAGATACTGTAGTATGAGCTGGCAACTAAGGAAGGAATCCGGTGTTCATCTTGTTGTGCTAACGAGGTATGACGATTTGGACAGATGCATATATGTGCCTGGTCCTACGTTGTCGCTCACTGAAGGAAGGAAAGTTGCTCTTGCCCGAATTTTTTATAATGCTTACGGTATTGTGTGTCTCAGGTGAGCTATACCTTGGTCTCCTCAGCACTAGATACATTCCAGTTTTCAAAAAACCATTAGTTCTAGTATATGACAAAAGAACATCTCATTGCTGTTGAATAACACCGAAAACTCGTACTTTGTTTGGACGAGTTTACCGTGTGGCAGCTTGCTCTGTTCCATTTTGTAGGTGTGAAACATGGTCAATAACAACATAGGATAATAGCAAATTACTAGTATTCGGTTACAGGTGTATTTCAAACATTGAATGTGTATTTTAGGACCACAGATTAAGCAATGTTTGAATTAGGAATAGGGTACATTTTCTCAAACTCTAATGCCTAGTCCTTTCACTCACTATTCATACTATTGATACCTCTTCTACGCTGAGGTTCAGCCAGACGATTCCATCTTTCTGTAGCAATGATATGGCAAGTTGAATGAATGAACATACAAATCAGGTTCTAAGTTGTGACTGACTGAGGAAACAAGACGAAGGTAGCACCCAATTCCTCAAAACCATGGAGTTGTTTATTGAGGAAAATGTCAAAAAAAAACACTGACAATCTAGATACTGAGGAAAGTTTTTGATGTAGAATAAAAAGACAAGACTAACTCTCTACAGCTTTAATTCACCAGTGGTCATTTATTCATGTTAATCCTACACGCTAGCATAAATGGCACTAGTGTGGTGGCATATAAGACCTGATGTTTCAAGATTCCACGTTTAGTATGTGGATAACATAGCTAGGTTGTATGATAACGTTTTCTGACAAAAAACTACTTTATTTAAAGGGTAGCGTTTAAGTAAGTGTATGTTAACCGCTGAGACTTTAATGAGATTATCAAGCATTATTGTATATTTGAAGGTGGAAATACCTATGTTTTCCTCAATCTTCAAAATGATTGATAAGTAACAATATTTTCCTGAATGGAATCACCAAACGATGAGTATTTATCACTTAAAATATGTGTATATGTGTATGATTAGTAGGAATTAAGCGTCTAAATATCCCGTGAATCAAAAAAAATTAAAACGTATCGGGATAAGTGGGACAAAAAATTAAGGTGTAATCCGAAAACCAATCTTCTGAATATTAGGAAGTCGTGAATTAAACTAAATGAATTTCATGTTGTCACTTTAAATGCCATGTATGAGCGATCATACACGACAAATGTTTTCTAATTCACTAGATTACGACACGCTAGTAGCGCGCTTACTTCTAGTGATAGAGTGCACAAAAATATTCTACACAACCGGGATTCGGCCGCCAAGCGACTTTTAATCATGAAGGCACTCGGACGGTAACCCTATCTTTCGAATGTGGCACATGAAGCTTTCAAGCTATGCTACATCATAACATTCTATATCTCTTCTTGTATGATCTATTATCCAGAATTTTTCGTGGTACATACTATTTCAATACTGTTCAAAATTTGTTTTACAGGATTAAAATTGTTCATAAGATTCAAACAGACTTTGCAGTTATCGGCTATCGCATGTTAGAAACAGATTCACAACGTTTACGAGTTGTTGAAGATAGCTTAGGCAAAATCAATGTCCCTTTAGAACGCTACTATGGTGCACAAACCGCTAGATCTCTTGAGAACTTCAATGTTTGCACAAGATCGGACACAATGCCAGTAAGTTTATTTTGTCCATTTTAATAGCTTTCTCAGTTGCAAATTGTCTATTCTCTAGCTATGATTAAAGAGGTTGCTGCTTGTACAAACTTCAAGCTTGGGAGAATTAGTTCCAAACTCTCGGACGCCATAGTAAAGGCTTGTCGCGAAGTATACCATGGGCAACATGACAATGAGTTCCCTCTCGTTATTTGGCAAACTGGTTCTGGTACTCAGACTAATATGAACGTCAATGAAGTTCTGTCGAGTAGAGCTAGTGAACTGATTGATGGTTCGCGCAGTTCTAGATTAACTGTACATCCCAACGATCATGTCAATCTTGGACAGGTTCGATCATCTTTATTATGTATTGTTTGCTTAAGAGTTCAAATGATATTTTTCCCACTGCTATGAATTTGAGTATTGCAATGGAAACTGCATGGAAGGTTCTGCCGTCTTTGAATCACCTCATAAACGTGCTCAAAATTAAGATGCATGAATTTATGAATGTGATCAAAATTGGGAGGACCCATATGCAAGTAATATCCGCACGATGTTATGCATTTTGTTTAGGACGCTGTTCCAATGAGCGTTGGACAAGAACTGAGTGGATATGTGAGTCAACTCCAGCAGGCAGTGGATTCAATTAAATCACAATTACCGTTGATTTGTCATTTAGCTGTTGGTGGAACTGCTGTAGGAACTGGGTTAAATTGTTCTAAAGGTTTCGATGAGGAACTCTGTGTAAGCTTAACACAGTTAACTGATCGTCTCTACAGAACTGTAAGTGTAGTTTAAGAAAATTTAGAATGATTTTCCTACACTTCATAACAGTTATATAAACGTAACAACTCACTTCTACTAATTATATATACTTGGAATTGTTTTCGCAGATTCTGACAAAAGGATGATATTTCCGACGTCGACAAAGAGCTTTTACTTTTAAACGTTGGACATTTGTATGTGAAAGACATTGACCAGTTTTCTAACAGCTATAGGACGAGCAAAATTTATTTGTTTAAATTTAATGTACCAAAATCTGAAGATCCAGATATTTTTCTTCGTTTTTTAGGATCTTTCAAACAGTTCAGCAAGAATCAGTTTTTCGTTTACAGTAATATAGACTGTCAAACCCAGGAATATTTTGTGATATCGAAGAAACCGAGATCAATTCGTTTTGCTATTTCTTAAATCTTCATTGGGTTCCCCTCATCTTTTTAAGTTGCAGCTAGCTACCATGTTTCTTGACTGCTGATCAGCCTACAGTTCGTATTTAAAACTCTGACCTTGCTTAAGTGCGGATAAGAACAAAACGAAACTGGCGACATTGATAAAACTCAATTTGAAAGCATGGTATTCAGTGATTTCACGTGAATGAGCGATAAAAACAGTTACATAAATTTGTTTGATGCAAAAAGTACCTTTATCACTCCTATAAAAACTTTCTAGTCTTAATGCCTGATTTTAGAAATATAATTATAAATAGATATTATGGGGATCTAGCTTTATATAGTTTGAAGAAAAGTAGTTGTATAATTACTGTAAACTAGTTATTATGTTTATATTTTCTAATTGTGGCTTGGAAAATTTATTCAAAGCTTAATATTCGTGTGTTTCAGACTATTTATGGAAATAGTACTATTCCATTAATTTTGAAAATATTGCATCATTTTGAACATGAAAGAAGATGAGAGTTTTGTTTTAGCTGCTTTCAATACTTCTGATTTATTATTTAGATAGCTACAACGGATTCCAAATTATGGAAGTAATAGTAAGTATTTTGATACTGTGTTTAGATGCTTGTGTTAAAAAGGTAATCATTCAAATAGCCCATTGAGTGATATGGGATGGTCGGATGTAAGCTTTTGTTTTGAGAACTGATGTTCATATTATTCTATGGCTTCTTTTTCAACAATAAGTTGACCAACAAAATCATAGTTCTTTATTTTCCCTTACTTGATCATTGAATTATTGCTTTTTAATAGTCGTCACCTACTGGTAGTTGTGATAACATGTTTTGTTACTCCTTAAGATTCTATAAAACAGCTGTCGAAGCATTTTTCACTTATCTACCAGTGGTTCAAATTTAGACAACTTGCGGTCATTTTGAATTTGTAACTAAGTTTGGCGTTTGTCACTGGTAATATTATCAGTTTATTCCACACTACCTTGCTATCCAACAAACTCCCTCTTCGATTTTTTTTCACTGTCAACACCGGATGTTGCATTGTGCTGTCTTCTTGTCTGCATCTTATGTATGATGAATTAACTCTTACTCTAATTATTATGTGTAATTGGAATGAGAATTCTACTCTTCAGTTACTATTATACTGATTTATTCAGTTACCCAGGATTTTTCAGTTTAATTCGGAAACGAATATTTGAAATACTGAAGTTGTTTTACTTACGCTTCACAAAAACTTTTAACAGATGTACAAAGAATCTACGCCCGTGATAGATCTCATTTTCAAACCAGCGGAAAATAAATTTGCAGCTCTTGCAGGCCATGACGCCTTATTACAGTTAAGTGGTTGTTTTAATACCACCGCTACAGCTTTAATGCGTTTGTCTAATGACTTTTGTTTGCTCAGCTCCGGACCAAACTGTGGCCTCAGTGAATTTGTTTTACCGGCAAACGAACCTGGATCAAGTATTATGCCAGGCAAGTTATATACATTACTATTGTAGACAATTTTCCTCGTTATATCTCTCTTGTTCGATAATCTGAGCACTACTCGACGTCACATGAATTGAGCTGATGGGATTCCAAAAGGTATTTGGCTTAGGTTTTGCCTACTGGAAATATGCTACAATGACTTAGTGATTGAAGCGCCTGACTCATTCAGTAGGGCCCAATTCACAACACTAAACTTGCTTCTCCATAAGCAGCTGGGTAGTAATCTAGCTTTCTAACTAAAGTATGACTCAAATTCAATGAAACGGCCACCACAGAACGAGTGAATGTATTTACTATGCCTTAAACATGTGACTCGGACCTAACTAACCCTTGGATCTTAAGAGTCTATACATTAAAGGATGATGACATAATATTCGGAGTTTAACAACAACTTAATCAGTAACATCTTTCATAATCGAAACGTGCCAACCCAGTAAAATCAGAAGCGAAGAGGTTCGAAGGTATATTTGACAGAATATTGATATACCGAGAAGTGACTAATCTAAGCTGGTTAGCGGTTGTAGGAGAAGTAAAACATGGCGTACCCACTCGTGATCTGGTGTGGATTCATGGCCGAGTGCATAAAGCTAGGTGAGTCCATTAAAATTAATGCGGTTAACATCAAATGTTGAAGACTTACAGAGTTATTGATTCTGAGGATTTACCGATACAGGTATTTTAAATGACTGTTAGTGAGTTCGAAGTGTTACAATTGTGCAATATTATTTTATTTCTTAAGTAATGTCTGTTTGCATAAAAACTTTCGCACATTAGTTTCCGAATCCAATACCACAGCTTGGTTCATATATTTTAGTAAAGCAATAAAGTCGATCAACAATGCGATGTTGAATGAGCGAATGTTTGTCAAATCGCCTACGCTCTCACATATACACTATTCGTCAGATTTTCAACACAGGCATGCTTATCGGCGTCCGACAATGATAGTTTTTCGCGACTTAAAAGCGGCATTTGACTCTGTTGACCGAGAGGTTCTGTGGCAGTGTCTGACATTGAAAGGTGTACCTCAGAAATACATAAACCCTGTAAAGGCTCTTTACTCGAACACTATTAGTCGAATCAGAGCTTATGGCTAACCACCATCTGATTTTGCAACCTCAAGTGGTGTCCGTCAAGTCTGCCCACTATCTCCATCTTTGTTCATTTTCGTCATAGAACTACTGCTGGAAATAACACTTTCATCGACTGAATTTTCTAGAATCGATCTCCTACCAGGAGGTCCACTTATCGACTTAGAATATGCAAATGCGGACTACTTGTTTGGGGTCCGCGTGACTATTGTAGCCAATGGTTGGAGACTCTGTGTGGCATGGCCTACAATCGATTAGAATGGCATAGGTGTACACATTCATTGTCTTCCCTTAAACTATGAAATTAAACTTATTGTATACCTTTTTTCTACGAACCAATTCTTTCTTCTTTTATTATATCCTTATACACAATCTTTCTTTTATATATTACTACCAATGAAGCAACTATTCCTCTGAATTCGATGTTCATCTTGTTGTGCTAATGTGGTATGGTAACTTGTACCGATGCATATATGTGCTTGGTCCCACGTTGTAGCTGAATGACTGACTGCGTAGGTTTCCAAAAAACAACATATTCTTGCTATTTAACCCCGATTTCCATGGGAAGCAAAGCCGCAAAATATAATTTGTCTTCCAAACGTGGATTCTGTTGAATATGTTAACTGAAATAGTCTTCAATGGAATAGAAAGGTATTTCTCATTTGAATCCAAAACTTTCACTTCTTTTTACTTTGTTTATCATCTCGTCTGGTTTAGTATTATTTATATTGTTGCACCGACTGAAGCTGGTACCTAACAGTTATTATTGGGAGCATTCCGATGGTATGTATCAGAATGCTATTATCTATCAAAAGACTTAATTGTTTGTACATTAGTGAATCCAGGTCCTATCATACATTTGGTAAGAATGAGAGGTTTTCAATATCTTGAAAGTTGAAAAAGGTCTTAACGTTTGTCGTTAATTTTTTCAATCACCATATTTTTCAAATATTAAACCTAACCTATGACTTTTTTCTTCAAAAAGCCCTAAATTCGTTTTTAGTGTTAAAAAGAATATGGTTCTGAATCATCTTATTTTCTTTGTCTTTTTTCTCACACAGATTCCCATCTGTACACTCGGTATCGAGTTTTGGGAACCTATTTCTGATTTTGTGAGCTTGGCTAGGTATTTTCTTTCTCCACAATCAACAGTAGGCAGCATTTTCTCATTTAATCCATACATATATATTTTTCAGTTAACTCGGGTCCTTAATCATTTGAATAATTTAATTGCGAAGAAAGCTGAAGATAAATATCCCTAAGAATTTAACTTTCCGTAAACTAGTTTTGAAACTAATAATTTATTCACACCTAATATACCTTTAATTATATACTTTGATTGGCTCAGTGACCAGCTTTCTGATGTATTAAGCTGCTGTTGTCGGATAACAATTCACTTGTGTTGGTATGATTTTCGGCAGTCGGCGGTCATAAGTGTTCTTAACCCCTTGTCACAATCGAAATTACCACTTAGCTATCCTCAACTTTTTGGTCAAATAAATATTTCGATAAAACGGTCTCTTAAGAGATGTTCACACTGTTTTCTGTTTTACTCTAATTCTTTATATAAAAGGTAAAGTCAATCCAACTCAGTGTGAATCTCTACGAATGGTTTGCTTGCAGATAATGGGTAATCACTTCACAACTTCAGTGGCAGCATCTCACGGTCAACTGGAATTAAATGTTTGTAAACCTTTAATAGCTGCGAATCTTTTACATACGTGTGAACTGTTAACAGATTCGACACGTTGTTTTGCTGATAAATGTGTCAGAGATCTACAACTGAATCGAGAAAAAATCCAGGAATACGTGGATAAGTCTCTAATGTTAGTTACGGTTCTAACGCCTCATATTGGTTATGATTTATCAGCCAAACTGGTTCAACATGCATCGAAATTCAAAAAAGGATTGCGTGAAAGCGCGATTGAGTTAAACTTGCTATGTGGGGAAAAGTTTGATGAAATTGTTAAACCAATGGAAATGGCCTTTCCTCATAACAACAAATGAATTCCAAAAATTTCTCTTTTTGCCTTTTGTTACTTTGATAGTTAACAGTATGCTTCAATCTAATTCTATAAACTTCTAAATTTGGTGTTATATTAAGAAAATAAGACAAACTAACTATTTAAACAAGAATTTTTGCCCAGTTTTGTAGAAACAATTTTACAATAGTTAGCAGAGATGGATAGTGGCTAGCAGTGGAATCCAGGACGCGCGTTTCGACCTATTTGGGACTCGTCAGCCGGATGTACCTGCATCTCAGAGTTGATGTTCACTCTGGGACTCGAACCCAGTACCCTCGCTTCAAACGCCATCGCGTTATCCACTCGGCCACTGAGTCCTGATAGCCACTTGCTTGTACGATGGGGTGAAGTTTAAATTCAACTTATTATTGTTTGTTTGAATCTTCCCATCGATTTGTTAGGACTGCAACTGGTTAGTCTCTTAGTGGCATATGTGCATACTGTGCGTATTGCCTCGATATACCTTAGAGACTGACCAATTACAGTCCTAACAAATCGATGGGAAGATTCAAACAAACAATAATAAGTTGAATTTAAACTTCACCCCATCGTACAAGCAAGTGGCTATCAGGACTCAGTGGCCGAGTGGATAACGCGATGGCGTTTGAAGCGAGGGTACTGGGTTCGAGTCCCAGAGTGAACATCAACTCTGAGATGCAGTTACATCCAGCTGACGAGTCCCAAATAGGTCGAAACGCGCGTCCTGGATTCCACTGCTAGCCACTATCCATCTCTGCTAACCATGCTTGTGAATTAAGGTATATCGAGGCAATACGCACAGTATGCACATATGCCAATTAGAGACTGACCAGTTGCAGTCCTAACAAATCGATGGGAAGATTCAAACAAACAATACTAAGTTGAATTTAATTTTACAATAGTTCAGTGCTAATTGAGTGAAAAACGTAAAACTTTCCGGTGGGAAGTTTCATCTTCCTTTAAAGTTAACCACTCCTAATGTCTGCAATGAATTCAGGTTTTGTCAACCATTTGCAAATATTATGTATCACGATGAACACTTCGTTCCAGGTTATTGTATGAGAAATCCAAAAAATCTTATTCCTTAGGCAAACGAATTTACGAGCTCACCACTTGTTTAATTTGTGATGAGAAAGAATATTTATCCTGACTTAATCAACTCTCCAGTTGTCGCCAGTCAACAATAACGTTGAAATGTTAAGACATTTGATTTCTCCATCCAATGGCTAGGTAGCGTAAGTTTATATGAGCTGAATAAATAATAGGACACCGGGAGATTATGTCGTCCTTTATTATAAGCTTATAAAATTTGGATATTTCACTACAACACTACTCATTATTCTCAGTCTGTAGTATAGCATTTACTGCTATAAACGAGAGAAAATAAAGGAATAATTGCACTCATAGAATAGTCCCTGCTTCTCCATGGTTTTTAAAAACAATTCCACTGCTGTTTTGGATTTGTATGCGCAAACTTTATGTGTTATAGGTTCGATGTCTTTTATCTCACCAGTAAGGTTTGGGTAAAAAACATGATTTTTCAATAAGTCATTTGGAAATGAATGATATGTATGTGACTGACTTATTTAAACATTTGATTTCATTTAATTGCACACAATACGACAAGCATAAATTAGTTCCTTCTATTCATTCACTTTTCTAACATAACTATGGATAAATTTGAAATAACTTCTATCAAAAGCGTCTATGCCACACTGACATATTTGTGTCAGACGGTGGCTCCATAAGCTTGAAATGTAATCTGTATTAAAATTACACATATACACTCACCCACTAAATGAACAGGGAAATGGCCGGAAGTACTAGAGGTTGCACAATCATTAAACACCGAAACCATTGAAGACAGCCTCAGCCAGCATACTGACCTCATGACCTTGAATGTTCCAAGCGAAAAAAATAGGAGGGTTTATTTTAATAAACTAACCTCGCTAAAATGAAATTCCATTTTCAGTAATTTTGTTACGCTGTTAATATGCATATTGAATTATAGATAGGACTAAGATTTTGAAGAAAATCGATAGCATTTATTAGACAAAACCCCTAGTAACATTTTATAGAGGAGATAGTTTTCAAAGATCTTGTCTAACAAGACGATACTACACATGAAAATAAACTACATTCATGATTGGAGCTCATATATTAACTCATTAAGCACTATAAGCAACCTATCCTTGATTTAAAATTAATTTTCAAAAACAATTCACCTCGAAAAGCTTTATAAAGTGATTTTAAGTAGGCTTATTTCTGAATATTTTATACGAAATTGACAATTAAACTTACGTGACACACTCCCTTTCGCCATAAGTCTTTAAAGTAATCTGAAAATCAAATTTCAGCGTGCATTAGAAAATAAAGTCTCTTTATGACTGTGATACATTCGCCTTTGCCTTCAATATAAAACTCACACTTTACCAATCTCAGTAGAAGTAAAAGTTGATAACAAAGATTCATTCATATTCTGATCTCTCAGATTTTGCTAAAAACTATGGGATGACGGTACACCTTACATAAAAATAGTAACCACGTGACCGTACTTAGAAATATAACAACAGGATAAAATGGCACTTCTTTAGATCTGTGTTCTACCGCATCAAAAGTAGATTAAATATCGGGGAAAACCAAATTTTACAAAATAAATAAAGTCGGAATATAATTGTAGTAAATAGGTGGAAAACCCAGAACAGAAGTCTGAATATCGACAGGATTAGTATCTATTTTTCTTTGCTGTCATCAATGACAAGATATATAGCCATATAAATATATTTTCCTTTGACTGGATGTTAAACAATCATTGATAACATTCAAAAATGGCTGAACATATCTATCTAGGTTCAAGTTAACCCATCTTTATTGTCTTTACTCGTAAACTATTTTGACGGTAAAATGTGTGCGTTCATTAAGACTAGTAATAATACAAGTACCTGAATTCATGATATTAATTAATAGATAAGAATTTATTTGAACCCGTTTTATTGTGATTGTTGACATAAAAATCAGCAAGTATAGAATGTGATTAAAAAGAGAAACATGTGAAGATCTGGGGTACATAATTGCATAGCTTTATTTTATGCAAGATATTCTATTGACAAACTTTCAGTGACAGTTTTACTGTTAACTCCACTTAACAATCATATGACATATTTGCCAAATCATTTAACTTATTTAAAACTCATGATTTAATTAGTCATTAGCAGAGATTAATACATATTTACATTACATGCCCAAAATATTTTAAGTTTTTTAATTTCATGGCCTGATTTTGCAAATTTCAAATGTAACTTGATGATTTTTGTATTTTCTTAGGAATAATAGTATAATCATTGTTTATTTTCATAATTGCTTTTTGTGAACAGATTTTAAAGTAGAAATTAATTTCGGTAATTATATATATTATATTAAACTACTAAATGTTTCTCTGAGATTATCCTTTGTGATAAATTTACTGACTTAGGTTTTTAATTATCGGAAGGGGTTTTGTGGAGATTTAGTATTTACATAGTTGATAGCGTGAGTCAATTGAAGCTAGACTGTCATGGAAAACCTGGAAGCACTGGACGTCCGTTTCGTCCTATTATGGGACTCCTCAACAGTGCGCAGGTTTTTAAATCAAAAAATATATATATATCGATGATGAATGGCTCTTGTGAGCTAGTTCTGATTGATTTGAGATGATTATATTTGTGGGATCAACCAAGGATTTTTTTGTGAATCATGGTAACTTATTACACATTCACTCCATTGGTGAAACTTGACTGTCAATAATAACAAGGACATATAACATAGTACCAGAAGATATCAAAAACGAATTATTTATTGCGGATGAAATATCACCTGATAAGTCTTGTTGATTGAACACTATACTCGGATCCTAAGTTAGTCTCGTAATCCCCAAGCTAAATCTACACAATGACTTGAACACGAGAGAAAAGGCGCAAAATATTCGAGAAGCACTTTACACCAAATGTTCATTTATGTACAGAAAATATAGGTTTTTTATAGCATTTTAGAAGTCCTTGGGTTTTCATGAAAATTCTGGAATGCTGCTAAACATGGTGGCAGTGTGACTTTTCACTTTCGTGATGTTTCTAGCAAAACTTCTAATCAAACGCTGATTGGATAAAAATGTTTCCTGAGCCTTTCTTGTCCATCGCGGGAAATTTTCAGGATCGCCCCAATATCACCATATATTTTCTAATGTTTATAACATTTATGTTTGCCACAGATACTATTACAAACAGCTCATACAATTTCAGTGATGTTTTCTTATCTAAACAATGGTTATTTAAATTTTGCCAGTTAATATTATTGCCCTGACGAGGAAATAGAATGTAACTCGAAAACAAAGTAGAATCTGCTGTATTTGAAACAATTTGTAGGCAGTATAGATATAATAATTTAATCATATAGAAGTATCAAAATAGTTAGCTTAAAATTCTCCACAGATAATTCACAAATAAAGAGTATTTAGGCAGGTAGTTGTTTTCATCAACATCAGATTCAACATTTATGAATACACGATTATTGAAGTACAATGGCTAAAATAAGGCACATAAATAAATGAATTAAACAATGTTATATGTCGAAATAGTGAGTTTTGAAAGTTCACAAATGTTTATAAATTGTTTATAATAATAATAATAATTTTCAACTGCAGCTTGTAGTGTTAACTGCATTAATTTTCACTTAATAATTCATTAAATGGTTATTCAGCGTGTTAGTTTTATGTATTAAGTTAGTTAGTTATAGTGTACTGATTACATAATTGTCTGTAATTCAATATTTGACATAAGGAATGGATTACGAGATGTATCACATCACAAACTAATGATTAAGTACTGACTTATTATGTAGAATTCGGTACATAGAATTAGACAAGGCAAAAAATCATACAACATCATAAGAAACTAATTAGTTAACAAACAATAAACATATTACTTAATTTTGTTTAGAGAATGCCCTAGCTGTGAAATCATTGAATTATATATATTCTCATATGTTGTGACATTTAGTTTTACTGACAACTACATGAATGGCATATATGAAGCACTTTTTATCAGTTGTATTGTTTTTTACAGTTGTGCTTGGAAGCTTCAGAAATAGGAATTTCCGTGACATAT